TCTATTCGTTGCGTCTGTGCCTTCGTATCAACACTTCTGTCTTGCTCGTTTAGCTCTTCCTTTCCTTTCAATTCGTCCATTTCGTTGCATCCATCCTTTCGTTTCAACTCTTCCCTCCTATTTGTTATTTCTTTCCTTTCGTTTCAACTCTCACCTCGCGTTTCACAGAAAACTTGACAAAAATGCAGTTCGCGAGAAAAGCATTTTTTTCAAGTTTTCAAGGGTGGGGCCATTCGGGCTGGTATTTGCCGTCCAAGCAGCCACTTGCGGCCACTTGCGGCCACTTGCGGCCACTTGCGGCCACTTGCGGCCACTTGCGGCCACTTGCCCCAGCGGCCACTTGCAGCCACTTGCGGCCACTTGCGGCCACTCGAGTGGTTGCAAGTGGCTGCAAGTGGCTGCAAATAATGCAAATGGCTGCAAGTGACTGCAAGTGATGCTGCTCTGGAAATTTCAAATCCTTCCAGTAGAGCAACCGGCCACGTGCGGCCACGTGCGGCCACTTGCTTCCACTTGCGGCCTCTTGCGGCCACTTGTGGCCACTTGCGGCCACTTGCGGCCACTTGCCCTAGCGGCCACTTGCGGCCACTTGCGGCCACTCGAGTGGCTGCAAGTGGCTGCTTTTTTGAATTTCAAATGCCGCGCGTTTTGCGACCTCAGTGCAATTTTCCATTCTTGCAGGATGTCTCGCAGAAATGCTTCGTTTTTGATGTTGTCAGTTTGAAAGAATGAGGAAAGTCTTGCGGAATTTCGGCTGCTTAGAGCTGTGAACCTCGATCCTTTTTTGAATATGTCTCGCAGAATTGCTTCACCTTGGACTTGCCAATTGAAGGAAGTCTCGCATAATTTCTTCCTGTCAGGTAAAAGACAGAAAGATAGATACATAGCTAGACAGGTAGATAGACAGGCAGAGAGATGGATAGATCGGGAGATAGAAGATAGATAGAGAGTCAGATAGACAGATAGACGCATAGTCAGGTACATAGGTAGATAGGTAGATAGATAGATAGATAGGTAGCTAAATAGGAAGAAAGAAAGATAGATAGATAGATGGATAGATAGACAGATAGACAAATAGACAGATGGATGGATGGATGGATGGATAGATAGATAGGTAGATAGACAGATAGATCGACCGATCGATCGCTAGATAGATAGATAGATAGAAAGATAGATAGATAGATAGACAGATAGATAGACAGATAGACAGATAGACAGATAGACAGATAGACAGATAGACAGATAGACAGATAGATAGATAGATAGATAGACATATAGACAGATAGATAGATAGTTAGAAAGATGCATGGGTGGAAAGATAGAAAGATAGACAGATAGGTAGAGAGACATCAGATAGACGGATAGAAAGATAGATAGATAGGCAGACAGACAGACAGACAGAGAGACAGAGAGACAGACAGACAGACAGACAGACAGACAGACAGATAGATGGGTAGATAGATAGATAGATAGATAGATAGGATAGGATAGGATAGGATAGGATAGGAGAGGAGAGGAGAGGATAGGATAGGATAGATAGGATAGATAGGATAGATAGGATAGATAGGATAGATAGGATAGGGAGGATAGATAGGATAGATAGGATAGATAGGATAGATAGGATAGATAGGATAGATAGGATAGATAGGATAGATAGGATAGATAGGATAGATAGGAGAGATAGGATAGATAGGATGGATAGGATGGATAGGATGGATAGGATGGATAGGATGGATAGGATGGATAGGAAGATAGATAGATAGATCGATAGATAGATAGATAGATAGGAAGATAGACAGATAGGTAGAGAGACATCAGATAGACAGACAGACAGACAAGCAGACAGATAGATTTAGGTAGGTAGGTAGGTAGATAGATAGATAGATAGATAGGTAGGAAGATAGGTAGATAGATAGATAGATAGGCAGGCAGACAGACAGACAGACAGACGGACAGACAGAGATGGAAATTGAGATTGAGATGGAGATCGCGAAGGAGAGGGAGAACGATATAGATAGAGAGAGAGGGAGATAAATAGAGAGCGAGAGTGAAAAAGAGAGAGAGAGAGAGACTCAGCCACCTTTCGGTCGATCAGAGGATTCGCTCTGCCATCCATGCATCACAACAACCCACCTCTCCTATAGTTTCCTATCTTTGAACCTTCCGCCACCGCCTTGCGCGGTACTACTGGCAATCATCTGAACAAGAGGCCGAAGCAGTTACGAGGATAAACATCACATACAAGAGGCCCCAAACACACCAAGAGGCGACATATCATATATCTATATACAAATAAATAATCAAAAACACCAGTGAAACATGAGTTACATACCAACTTGCAAACCTGTCTAAGGGCGCCACCTTGCGTAGATTTTCATTGGAAACAATTCTTGAAGTCCTATTCAGAGAGAGACCGACTTTGACTAAAGCCTCACATCCGCTAAATTCAACATGGAACCTATAAAGATGTCTTTACTGTTGAATATGCCCCAAAAAGATGTTCCATGTCGAATTAAGGTGTAAGCGTTTATATGATTTTTTATATGCTGATTTTCACCTTCACCCGTCGGCAAATACCCGCAACGGTGTCCTCAAACATGGCTAGCTGGGAAATCGCCAAACTACTGTAAATGGAGGCTTATAGCTGGGAAAATCAACTCTAAATGATGGATTTTCCATTGCCATGTTTGATTACCAAAGGGTATGTCAGAACCTCTGGTGGTCGGGTCATCAAATAAAGAAAATCGATCAGGGACCATTTTCAATTGCCAGGCTCGAATAACAAAGGGCACATCTATCGGGCACATTTTGGTTTTTTAATCCTCTTGCACAATGTGCAAGTGCTCGTGAGGTATCTAACCCAAAAGGCTGGAAGTGATCGCTATTTTTGTCTTCTACTTATGAATCATCTATGGCGAGGACTGTCAAAAGGTCTCTATAAGTTACAATTTACTCAGATCTTACTGGTTGAGTAATCACCCCAGGCCCCATGAAAAAGCAGCTTGCGAGCACCGAGGAATTGGTTGTGCCGGTGGTGCACAACCAAATTGGAGGCCAAAACTCATGGGGGAGGTATTTGACCTTCTAGTAGTACCCTTAAAATGATAGCATACCCTGTGGTAAACTAACATAGCTATGGAAAATCACAATTTTTCATGGGTAAATCTACTATTTCTATGGCCATGTTCGATAGCTATGTTAGTTTACCAGAGGGTATGCTATTTTTCATCGATTTTTCTATCTTTTTGAGGATTGCTGGGAGAGGATTCTCAGACCTGTTCGCATCCGAAGGATATTGGATGTCATGCCCATCCCCCATTGTAGTCACCATTGCTGATTCTTATCCAATTAGAAACCGACTGTTTGTGTACCCAGTTTTGTCCATCCGATGTGACCCTGGCGCCTCCTTCTTCAACATGTAGTCAAGGACCTTAAAGCTGCAGTGACACTACACGCGGCGCTTGCGCCGCCTACCTTGAGGATGATGTGGAAAAAGGGAACCCCAATCGTTCACTCATAAACTCACAAACATTTGAAAACCAGCCTACCTATCGTTTGGGGGCCCCTTCCCAACCCCCAAAAACCCCGCATTTGGTGGTTCCCTGACGGGGTATCTTTTGTGGTTTGGGAACCTCAACCTGACCTGGTGAATGCGTTGAATCTCCAGAATGCTACGCAGCTATAGCTATAGGTCACTCAAAAAACTGTTCAGTCAAGTCTTCCTCCCGCAAGACATTCTCAGATGCCATGGCAATAGTGAAAAACATGCCATAACCATGGTATGAGATCCCTATCCCAGCCTATGGTAAGTCATTGGTGGTTTCCATAAAATCCACCAGGCTAAAAAAAGAAACGCGTCCCGGGTTAACCGTCTCAATAAAGCGTTACTAATTCATAGGCATTAAGCATGCAAAAAAGCGTTTAACCAACATTTCATAGGAATATTTTTTGGAAGTCAATGGAAGTATCAGGTCATTTACCATATTTACCCTCGTTTGCTGCGGAAAATGAACCATTTACAACCATTTAGCTTCATGATCTACCTATGAAGCCTGTTCTTTCCGAGAGCCTGTTCTGTGGCTCGGCAAAGAAATTCATCCCACATGGCCAAGCGGCCAAGCCGTTCAAGGCGTAGACAGTGAATATCTCATGAACATATCCATGATTTGTTGGTTAAATCCTCATTATATATATATATATACATATGCGAAATGATATACAGTATAATTTCATGTTGGTTAAACAGTTTCATTATTACTAGTGAAACAGGGGGTCGAACCGGGCACCCAAAAGAAAAGGGGAACCAAATCCGCCAAACCCTGCATCAAACAACCAAACAAGCACACGCTGTTTTGTGCGCTTGAGCCACCGGGTCGGCAGCGTACCTAGTCATCCCCTGACCCTGGTTATGGTTAGGGTTAGGGGAAAGTACCTACCTCTACCTATGGCTACTACATCTACTTATCGCTTCTAAGTAGATGGCATTAGCTGTACATACATTCGGGTGTACTACTTGGACATTGTTGGGCTCATCGCTAAGGCATACCTACACTAGACCTACCTGCGCATGCTATACATGGTGGGGCTTAGGGGTCGATATATATCAACTTTACTATGTGTTAAATCATGTCAAATCTTTAAATCCTGTGGGTGGCTTCATGATGACTTCTTTGCACCACCTCCGCCGCTCAGGTGCCGAAAAAACACCAAAAAACAACACAAGAATTCAATGGTGGTTTAACGATAGTTCGATATGGCTCAATTGGGAGAAACATGAGATTTGTTATCATTTGCTTATTCATTAATATCAATAATATCAATAAGATAATATCAATGAGATGGATTATTGAGATCATATCAATATTATTTAATGATTAATTATTAACGGTTTTACTCAGTATAATCAAACATGGCTGGGACATCTCAGCGGTAAACTTTCCATTGCCAGCACAACCCATCCATATCTGTATGGTTGGTTTACACCTTTTATTTTTGGATGGTTAAAACCCTGCAAAAGGATGCTGAAGCCCCATGAAATATCGTGGTAAGTATATCCCTTTATAAATATCCAGAATGCATAGTGGTCACTATCCCATAGTAGCCCACTATGAACCGTTATTAAGCACCCAGTGGTTCCATATCAACCCATCTTTTAATGAAATAAAATGAACTAAACTCATACAAATCCATGAGTTAGCTATTGGAAATGGCCATTTCTAGTGGAAATACCTATTAAAAATGATGATTTTCCAGTTCGCAAACTGTGAATATTAAGCCATCAGTTCTACCGATGATCTGGGCATTCCCACCACTTGAAGCTCTTCCAAGGCATCTGCTGATTGGCGCCACCACAACCACAGCTCCTGAGCGAAATGGCTGATGTCGCGACCTGGGTTTATTTCACTTTTATTCCATGCATCACTGATAGCTTAGAAATGTTTGGTTTAGATGGAAACAATGGATGCAGCTAGTAATGGATTATGATCAATAATACATATTAGTTGTTGTGTTGGGTTCGGCAGAATTTCACCACTTTATACCTCGGAGGGTGCGTCTTGTGTTTTGCTTGATGATCTATTTGGAAACACACAAGCACCTGTCTGAGTTATATCTCAAAAATCACCTGATTTTTCACCTGACATCCGATGCCCACGTTATCTCCGAAAATCACATCATCTCGTTCGCGACGTTCTTGTGAGCTCGTTGTATTTCATCCAGAAGAATTTGCAGGGGATTCAAGCAGAAAGAAACACGAGCTATTTCACCATGCAGCAATGATTGGAATGTAAGCATTGTCTAACATTTGGGTTCGTTCAGATATATGGTCATGTTGATACATGAACATCAAAAAGCAATTTAAAAAAATCATATACACCATGATAAACCGTGAAGTTTGGAGATCCCGTTTCAACACAGGCCCGCATCTTCAAATTCTTCACCCCACATCCGAAATAGTAACGAATGCAGCCGCTTGCGGAGCAGCTGGGCTGATTCCTCCAACCACGCTGCCGGTGGTGCTGCGTTTGGTTCTTTGGCGGCTGAAAGGTTGGCATGGGGTGCCTGTACAAGCTAAATCAGGGCACCGGAGACGGCCCACGTGAGGATGAATCAGGCATCCACCATGAATCTGCGCTTGCAGAGATGGGAAGTTCACCGATGCCATGTCATAGCTCTGCTTGAGATCCGAGCAGGCAATGCCCTCGATGGGAATGCCCACTGGCAGATGCTTTTGGTGCGTCTACTGGGTCAATTTGGGATTATCATGCCTTGTCCAGTCCATGGATAGGTTTAAGGGAACATTTACAGGAAAATTCCAGCCATTTCATGAGAAAATCCATGGTTTCCGGTGAAATTTTTCCCAAGAAAACCCAGCCGAAGATTTTCCTAGTCATTTTTTACAGGAAAATCTCGGGACTCCAGGGCTATCCCCAGTCATCACCATTGATATAGCTGGTACGCTAACCATTCCCAGTCATGGGCGGTTGATATTTTTGTTGTTTCTCCCACATATCATGGTTATAACGCCATGTTATTGAAAGGAGCGCTGTGTTGAAAACGGCGAGTGAAAAAACACGAGAAGTCGAATAGGATAATACGCTGACAGAACGCGATAAACCTACGTGGTGAAAAAGTTCCCAGGAATCACAATTGGATTAATTCACCTTAGTTTTCTGTTGGTGACGTTTGATACCATTCACACACGCGATATATCAGGGCTTGGAAATAACTGTGCCCTTCACCAGTTGGTGCAAATGTTCTCCGGTCAACTCCGTGTATCTTCGTTGATTAAAGCCGATCGTCAGTCCCGATCAGTATGATGGTTACCTCACCATCTCTGGTTGACCCAAATGTTGATCATCATTAACCATCATTAACCATCATTAAGACACATTCGCAATCAGTAACCATAATAAACCACGATTAATCCATTCTATATCCACTACAAACCACATTTCATCTATGATAAACCGTTTCTTTCCCATCAAACAATATACAATTGGGTTTTGTATATTAGACCATGGATACTATGTCCCATTGATGGTTTAATTCCAACAAAACCATGTTTTTTTGTTCCCATTCAACTAGGATTTTCCACAGCCTTTCATCCAGGGCTCCTGTAGGCCTTTGGCCTTTTCCAGCAGCTCTTGTCCTGCGAAGCTCTGCCGGACCACTTTGGACGAATTCCTCGGGCGATGTGTCGGCTGGTAAATCATTTCAAGCATGAATAATGGTGGTTTAACAAAGACTACAATGATACATTATGATATATACTTGATATTAATACATGTAAATAGATATATGTATATGTAAAAATAAAAAAATACTTATACATACATATGTATACATACATACAGATGTATATATATGTATATATATATGTATATATATATATATAAATATATAAATATAAACTATGCATATATATATGTGTGTTATGTATGTATGCATAAAAAATAAATATACATCAAACTATATTTCTATCAATTTTACTACAAATATGTAAATATAAATATGTATGTATGTAACGTAATGTAATGTAATGTAACACAATGTAATGTAATGTAATGTAACGCAATGTAATGTAATGTAATGTATGTATGTATGTATTTATGTATGTATGTATTCATGTATGTATGTTTTAATATATATATATAATATACATATGTATATATTTACATATGATATGTATATGTATAGCTGTGTCATGTATATATATATATATATAATGATTAGTGATGATTGAATGGTGAATTAATTGGGGTTTGAGGAAAATTTAATGGTGATGTCATGAAGTATATACCAAAAATGATGAGGATACTGTGATTTTACCATCAATAATGACTGATTTTAGTTGGAGAGTCATTGGATCATGATGATTTAACATTAATTGATCGTCAAACATGATGGTGTAATTGGAGAGCCGCTGGCTTATCATGGTTTAACATGACTCAAAGATCACTAATGATGGTTTAACATTGACGATGATGATATATCTGATATATCTTGATTTGACCACCAAACAATGATTGTTCAATGGGAGTCTAATGGAGGTCTGACTGGGGTTTTGATCGACCGCAGAAGTGGGCCGATTTTGATGTGACGCGTAGCCGTTAAAAACGATGGGATTTGTGGAAAGCAGGTCTAAAACAAATGGTGAATTAAAAATAGTGTATCATAATGGATTCATATCATAATGTATCATTATATAGTAAATCTATAATATATATATAGCAAATATATATATATATATATTATATATACATACTGGATTGTGGTTTTAACCATCTTGAAAAATATTAGTCAATGGGAAGGATTATCCCATATATTATGGAAAATAAAAAATGTTCCAAACCACCAGCCAGAATATCAAATGGATTTCTGGCATAGTGTTTTCTTGCTTTATCATCACCTCTTTGTGGAGTTGCGTCATATTTTCAGGATTTGATCCAAGGTCGGAAGACTGGTGATTCCAAACAAAAGGCTAGATCTAGCCACAATGAGATGGGGATCTAAATTGAAGCCCTATGGGACCACAGATTGTATTCTGAATAGATCTGGTTGGTGGTTAAAAAACAATCTTGAAAAATATGCGTTCGTCAATGGGGTTGGGATTACCCCATATATGAAATGGAAAAACATGTTTGAAACCACCAGCCAGTAACCATCTCCTTTTATTGGGCTACCCAATTTTTGACCCACCTATTTTGACAGTTTTTCAAGGAGATCTGCGAGATACGCTGATAAAATATCTCTGATGGGGCAACACATATTTTTTGCCCCAAAAAAAACAATAAAGTTAGTAATGGTAGTTCAGTTGATTCTAATATTACACTGGTAGACTGATTTGGGGCCACAAAAAAACATCCATGGAAGGAAAACAAAAAACTGTCTGGTAATCAACCATGGCTGGAACATGCCCCGTTGATGTTTCCAGCGACTGCAGACTTTCCCATGTCACACTGGCGATATGTTTCCTTCGACGGCCCAAGGGGTGATAGCCAGCTTTCGCTATAAAGGATCTCCACTTTGAGGTTGATTTATCTCTGGTTGGTGGCTTCAATTAATCAATGGGAATTCCAGGATCCTAAAATGGAGGTACTGTACCATATAAGGCCCTATTTTGGGAAGATGTTCCCTTACATAGGCCTTATATAGGCCTTATAATATGGTAAGTACCTCCAATTTAGGATCCTGAAATGGCCATTGAATTAACCACCATTATTCACCATTAACTCCAAGTAAAAAAAATCCATAAAAGTCCCATGAAATCTCTGGTTGGTGGTTTCAACCTACCCCTCTGAAAAATGATGGAGTTCGTCAGTTGGGATCATGAAATTCCCAACTGAATCGAAAAATAAAATTCATTTTCCGAACCACCAAGCAGATCTAGTAATACAGAATAGGCGGCACTTTAATTTTTTTTCGTGGACCTGGATTCTACCATTCTGTGGTGGATTTTATTGCGGATGCATGTTTGTTACATTACTGGTTATTATTCTGTATACCTCTGCGACTGGGATGATTTACATAATAGCCCTTGTTTTTTTTAAATCCCCCTATTGAATTATAGTTTTTCATTTTTAAGACCCGTTCATATTTTCATTCCCTCAGTTTTACCCCAAAAAACACTTGAAGATTGGGGATGTGTTTTTTTGGTTCACTATTTCATGGGGAAAACCCTTCGGAAAACCCACTGGAACTAACGGGTTTTTCCACATTTGCCCTTCTCAGGCGCTGGCACGAAACTCAAAATGGCCTCGGTGAGTTCGACCGGAAATTGTGGGTGAACAACCCCTATCAGGTGGTAGAACCAATGTCAACGGATTAGCAAACCCTGGTTGATTTTCATTCTTGTGGTGGTTCCCCCAAATAGTAAGCCATGGCTACTGAAAATGGTACCCCAGATTTCAACAGCCTAGTAATGTTTATTAATCCTTTTGGTTGACATGATCATGATTTTTACCAACAATCAGTCATCATATCAACATAGTATCAACGATGGATTTCAATATTTGATCGTAACCTCCACATTTTGTTGGTTAAATCACCATCGTAATGGTAAACAAATCAACCGAGAGTTGGGTATGGCTAACAGGAAACATCCAACAAGGGTGGTAGCTGGTCCAAAAAATGAGACCAGGGTGCATGGGTGCTTATTTCAACCTCTAGGAACATGCAACCTTGGCTGAACTTGTACTGTTCATTGTTGAAATCCATATCCCCTTTTGTTGTAGTTACAATACTTTAATTATCCATGTTTCCTGCTTCGCCATTCTTATGTGTCAATTCCCTCGCGATGGGTCATCCCACCCGCATACACCATATATCACGATTTGCTTGCTGACCAACGTCCCTCATTTGGCTCAGTCTTGTTGCCTTCCTAATTGTCGTTGACAATCACTGGCAGTTGTGCTATCATTCTGCTTGTTCAAATCACCATTGTTGATGAAACTTAGCAGTTTTCTTCGTGAAAGCATCTTAAACACCCCCCTCTGAATTCAATGTTTGACATGGGAGTCTGGATTCTTGAGTAAATCAAGGAGAATTTTCTGCCCCCACCAGCATTTGCTTCAAATTCTCATCTGGTTGGTGGTTTCAACCTTCTGAAAAATATGAGCTCGTCAGTTGGGATGATGACATTCCCAACTGAATGGGAAATCAATCCAAATTCCATGGTTCCAAACCACCAACCAGATATATTCTACCATCAGTAACCATCATTAACCATCATTAACCATCATCAATCATCATTAACCATCATCAACCATCATTAACCATCATTAACCATCATTAATCATCATTAACCATCATCAACCATCATTAATCATCATTAATCATCATGCATCATCATTAACCAACATTAATCATCATTACCCATCATTAACCATCATTAACCATCATTAACCATCATTAACCATCATTAATCATCATTAACCATCATTAACCATCATTAATTCCCATTTCCCATTTCCCAACCCATTTCGGTCCATCCAGTGTCATCACCGTCGTCACCCAAAAATCGGGCTCCCACCAGCTGCAACTGATCTTCATCCATGGCGGCATCCGCCATGGCCTTCCGGAGGTGGATCAAGCTAATCCTTGGCTCCGCGCCGCTGGGCCCCAGGGTGAGCCAGCCACTGGGAAAAAAAATAGGACAATCCGTAAGGAAAATAGATGAAAGTAGTGGAAAACCCTAGAAAATCAAAGGAAAATCATGGCGAACTATAAGAAAAGCAAAAGGACATATAGTTTGTGACCCTATCATAAGCTCAGAACAGCAACTATATAATCATGTGCTTGGGAAACTACCGTTTGGCTTCACATTGGTTTTCTGAAAGGGGAACATAAATTGCTTAAATATAGTGATCTTATGGTGACATGACATACATGAACAATATTTGATCCACGGTATAATGAAGAAACAGTTGGTGGTGAAATAATTAGTGACATTAAATGGTTTAATGGTTAAACAAATACTAATAATTATAAAAGTTCATAACTGCTTTTCATGATCATCTAAGTCATCTAGTGAACAAGAATCTATGATAATCCCAGTTACTAGAGCCCCCGAACTAATCATCAACCATCCCTCTTTTCTTTTATAAGAACTTATTTCAGGAAACCTCCATATATCCTCATTACTTGAAGGTTAGTGCCATATGAACATCAGCTATGAACGGGAATATCGGAATATTAAAAATGGGAACATTCAAAATGAAAAAATATAAATATAAATATATATATATATAAATAAATAAATATCAAATCATATATAATATATATAATAATATAATATATATATAATATTATAATATATATATATTATACACATTAATTAACCAATGGTAAACAATCAATGGAAGCCATAGCCAGCCACAGCCCCGCTGTTCGCCACGGCCATGCCATGCCATGCCGCACCTTCGCACGTTCTCCACGGAACGACTGATGCCGGCCATCTCGATGTCCATTTCCATGGAGTAGTCCCCCTGCCGTGGACTTTGTGACGATCTTCTAGAAACACAATTTTAATATGCTTCAATAATTTTCAATATATATATATATATGTGTGTATTTAATATATTGTACTTTTAAGAATGATAAATGAGGCGCCATCAAAATCAATTGTTGATGCTTGGCACGAAAATATCGGCTATTGCTTTTTGGGGGGGACCCTATCGCTTTACTACAGCAGGATTGGCTTCACGGATTCAGATCTCTAAACTGTTGCGGATGGATTAAGGGGCGCTCATTGTCTTTGCGTTTGCAACCATGTTGGGGAGCTATCTAAGCACATTCCTAGACTCTTTCCTAAGCAAGGAAACTGATTGCAATCTCAACTCCGAACTAGAATGACAGTAATTAATTAAGATCAATGGTTCCCATCGGTTTTAAGATCAATACATCTATGAAAACCAAAAAGGATCAAAAAGGGACGTCGCCCTTGTTCCTGGTTGATGAAGTAGCGGCGTGAGAAAACGCCACGAGTCCCCGCTCAAAAGCTTTAGAGATTGAAGATGGGACCTCATCGATCCGATAAAGAAGCGTTCGTAGCTATGAAGAGGTGTATAAGGCTCCCCAAGTTTCAAAACAACCTGATGGCCTAGTGTTGAGAACCTGCTCACTTTTTTGCTGAGCCCTTCTTCTCATTGGGATCAAATGAGTCTTTTTTCAACAAAAGCTTATCGCTAGGTTATCGCTAAATTAGAATACCCTGATGATCAAGAAAGGAAAGAAAGAGGAACGCGGAATAAACAGGACAATTGAACACATAAATACGGTAACTACATTTAAACATACGGATTTTTAAATATACGAATCGGTATTTTAGACTACCTCCGGGAAGGTTTTCTTTGGCCCGCCCAGCCATTTAAACATACGGAATCCAGTTCATTTAAACATACTGCAACTACATTTAAATATACGAACTGGTATTTCATACTACCTCCGGGGCCTTTCTGTCTGGAACCACATATTTAAATGTCGTTACCGTAAATAAAAGGAACAGGGAATTCAGGAACAAGAAAAGGAAACGAAGGAAGAAGAAAGGACAAATCAAGCAACAATGAAATAAAATGAAATAAGTGGAATTCAGAATTGGATTCAAAAGCAGTTTTGATTTACTTCAGAATTCATTTGGATTTATTCTTAAAAGGAAAGGGAAGCAAAAAAAAGGAAATAAAGTAAGAATAAATTCAAATCAAATTAAAGCACATAAACGGAATTCAATATTAGATTTAAAACTATGTGTGATTCATGTCATAATTCAATTGCATTTAGTTTAGTTTAATTCTACTGCTTTGGGACCTAGGAGAAGAAAAACAAACTGCCTGCAAAAAGCAACGGTTTAATCACCTTGGACAACAAATGATATGGCAACTGCAAGAAGCGTGGGCACTGCAGGTCGAATTGTAGTCATCAATTTTGCCCATCGCGTGAAGGCACACAACAATATGTGCTTGGTCTACACCATTTTTAATACACTCTCGTATGGTTACAAGTTATCGCTTTTTGGAGAGGGGGCCTATCGCTTTACATGGTTTGGTGCCCTTTCTCAACACAACTGGACCGTCCCTTTCTAAAGTAGTCTTCGCTGATTTTGAACGTATCTCACGTGTAAATATATATATATATATATATATAAACTATCATTATCTACACAGATCTACAATGAGTTGATTGATGTGTTTTTCCCCACCTGCCAGGTGAGGGTTGTTAGATTTTATGTCAGTTGCCTGCTCCTCTCCTCCTCTCCTCTCCTCCTCCTCCTGCTCAACCGCGACCCTCGACGCACAGTGTTCTCTGTCGGACCTCAACCACGACCATCCACGCACAGTGTTCCCTGCCGGACCTCAAACACGACCATCCCCGCCCAGTGTTCCCTGCCGGACCTCAACCACGACCATCCACGCCCAGTGTTCCCTGCCGGACCTCAACCGCGAGTATCCACGCCAAGTGTTCCCTGCCGGACCTCAACCTGGGACCTTCCCAGCTCAGTGTGCACCGCTGGACCTCAACCTGGGACCTGCCCAGCACAGTGTGCCGCTGGACCTCAACGGCCAGATAGAATGCCAGAAGATATGCCAGATAGAATGCCAGAAGATATGCCAGATAAAATGCCATAAGATATGCCAGATAGAATGCCAGAAGATATGCCAGATAGAATGTTAGAAGATATGCCAGATAGAATGCCAGAAGGTATGCCAGAAGATATGCCAGAACATATGCCAGAAGATAAGCCAGGTAGAATACCAGAAGATATGCCAGATAGAATGCCAGATGGAATGCCAGAAGATATGCCAGAACATATGCCAGAAGATAAGCCAGGTAGAATACCAGAAGATATGCCAGATGGAATGCCAGATGGAATGCCAGAAGATATGCCAGAACATCTGCCAGAAGATATGCCAGATAGAATGCCAGATCGAATGCCAGAAAATATGTCAGATAGAATGCCAGAAGATTTGCCAGTAAGAAAATGTATAAATGCCATGGTGGGGATCACACGAAGTGAAGTAATTTCCTGTTGAATGTGCATTCGAGCTCAAGGAGTTGAATCTGGCGGGAGCGACCATTTTCTTATCCGGCTGAAATTTATATACCCTCCGGTGTCACAGCAAGGGGAATTGATCTTTGAAACGAAGGGTTTGAAAAGAAAATGGAAAAATCATCTAGAGATGGAGGGGTTTCAATTGCCATGTTTGATTAGTCCGTTGGGGATCATGATCGCAAGGGGAATAAAAGCCGATTCAATCAAGAGAAACAACATATTGCAAGATAAGTTGAAGATCTTTGAAAGGCAGTGAAATCCACAAATATGTTTTTCCCCACCTGCCAGGTGAAGGTTGTTAGATTTTATCAGAATTGTTCTCCTCCTCGGCTTGCTGTCCTCCTCGTCCTCCTCCTCCTCGTCCTCCGCCTTCTCCTCCTCCTCTGCCTCCTCCTCCAGTTTCTCCTCGACCATGTCTGCATCAACTTGCACCTCAACTTCCGCCTTGCCAACTCTTCGCCAAGCTCTTTGCCATTTGCCAACTTCCCAGCTCAGTGTGCACCGCTGGACCTCAACCTGGGACCTTCCCAGCTCAGTGTGCACCGCTGGACCTCAACCTGGGACCTTCCAAGCTCAGTGTGCACCGCTGGACCTCAACCTGGGACCTTCCCAGCTCAGTGTGCACCGCTGACATCAACCTGTGACCTGCCCAGCTCAGTGTGCACCGCTGGACCTCAACCGGGGACCTTCCCAGCTCAGTGTGCACCGCTGGACCTCAACCGGGGACCTGCCCAGCTCAGTGTGCACCGCTGGACCTCAACCTGGGACCTTCCCAGCTCAGTGTGCACCGCTGGACCTCAACCTGGGACCTTCAGCTCAGTGTGCACCGCTGGACCTCAACGGCAAGATAGAATGCCAGATAAAATGCCATGAGATATGCCAGAAGATATGCCAGATATTATGCCATGAGATATGCCAGATAGAATGCCAGAAGATATGCCAGATAGAATGCCAGAAGATACACCAGATAGAATGCCAGAAGATATGCCAGGTAGAATGCCAGAAGGTATGCCAGATAGAATGCCAGAAAAAATGTCAGATAGAATGCCACAAGATATGCCAGATAGAATGCCAGAAGATTTGCCAGATAATATGCCAGAAGATATGCCAGATAGAATGCCAGAAAGAATGCCAGAAGATATGCCAGAAGATATGCCAGAACATATGCCAGAAGATATGCCAGAAAGAATGCCAGAAGATATGCCAGAAGATATGCCAGAACATATGCCAGAAGATATGCCAGATATAATGCCAGATAAGATGCCAGAAGATATGTCAGATTATATGCCAGAAGATATGCCAGATAGAATGAAAGATAGAATGCCAGAAGATATGTCAGATAGAATGCCAGAAGATATGCCAGATAGAATGCCAGAAGATATGCCAGAACATATGCCAGAAGATATGCCAAATAGAATGCCAGAAGATATGTCAGATAGAATGCCAGAAGATTTGCCAGTAAGAAAATGTATAAATGTCATGGTGGGGATCACACGAAGTAAAGTAATTTTTCTGTCCAACCTTCAATACTGTATATTATATTGGTTGTATGTTCCATACATCACCGTTGTTCAGGTCTTGCCAGAGCTGGCGGTGGAAGAGCACTTTATTGGGTTTGGGGCCTGGCAATCTGAGAAAAAAATAGCCATTCCTATGCTCATGGTGGGGGACCATCTCTGGCACAGCCACCACGCTTCCATCTGCTTCCCTCTGCTGCGCCTCAAATTCGGGAAAATAATCAGACACCAATCCAATCCCAAGCTGATTGCGCTCTGTGTGGGCCCACCAGCCCACCACTTGGTTAGTCTCCCAATTTTGCATCAGCACAAAATTCTGGGCAGGAGGCACAGCCATAGCTTCAGTGCTATGTAGGGTACAATTCATCTTTCCGCCTTGGTAAACTACAAGAACTATATCTTGGTAAATATTGACCTTGTCATGCCCCCATCCCATTAGATAATCATAGCTATCATGTAATACGGAATATGGAGATTGTATCCAAATTGGTATCTGGAAATGTTGCCATTTGTCCCCATCATAGCAATGGTTACTTCACCCAACTATGATTCATCATTTATCCCTCCGTGAGGTAGTGACAACTCTTACACAACGTCACTGGGTAACTTACTCCATTTCCTTACAATCCTGAAAATCATGTTCGGTAGTTAAGCTCACAGTTGGTGCAAAGGAGAGTGAACAGTCTACAATACAAAATCCCGATTTCTGTCCCTTGAATTCTCGTCGTCGCCCCGAACACCACCTCTCTTTTGCAACATTCCCATTTTGGCTGTATACCAACACTTGTTGTTTGAATGTCACTAGTGTAATCCTAATAACTTCCAAACTTTAAATGTGGCAATTTTTGGTAAACTTCATTAGGTCAATGTGGTTTAAAGTAGCCGCAAGTATATACCACATATCGTGAGATCAATGAATCAATGGAGGCAGACAGGCAAAGAAATCATCGAAATTGATAGAGATTTCTCAACGCGCTCTTTGACTACCGAAAACACTCCAAGTCCTTTTTGCAATATCTCATTTTTGTCTGTTTGTTCAGCTAAACATCAATGGATTGGTTTTCTGTAAGGGGAAAACTTGAGGGTAACCATACGTAGTTCTCTAACGCATCAAATGTCAGGGTGTCCTACAATTTTCCCTTCAACATCCTTCAACAAATTCTGGGAAAAACTCAAGATATGTTGACAACATTTGACAACATAAAACTCAAATATCACAGTTTTGCTTAGTAGTGCTATTGCCACATCAAAGTATATCTCGTGAAACAGTTGGTTGAATCCCAGCATTATATCTCCTTAGCATTTTCTCGATGACATCCCCACATTTTGTTGGACACAAATATCACAATGATTAAGTTTGCTATTTGATACATGTATATATATATATATACACATTCAAGTGTTAATATACATATCACATATCCTATGATATCAGCTAGCTCCAGGATAATTCACCATCATTCACCACTATTAACCATTATTAAACCCTTATCAAACCATTATTAAACCATTATCAACCACTATGTCCCACTATTTTCATCATTAACCATTATTAAACTACTAATATATATATATATATACATCTATATACCACGAGAATCCAATACTATATACCACTATGTACCACGATTAATTACCAACTATTAAATCCTTATCTAAACCATTAACCAATCTTAAACAAAAAAACATCACTGACCGCCGCGGGACCGCGCCTGCTTCAAGACTGCCTCGACCCGGTGATCCAAGAGGATTCGTCGATCCGCTTCCTGGAGCGATCCGTTGCGGCGGGGACCACGATGGCTTGTCGTCAACGGGAAACCCATGGCTTTTAACCAGCTGGTTGGTGGTTAATATATTGTTATTATATGGTTATTATATGGTTAATATATGGTAATTATATGGTTAATATATGGTACTTATATGTTAGCTTGATCCAAAGGGGCTCCAGGAATGGTTTCTATAGAGGGTGGACGGGGCATGACGTAAACATAAACTATGTCTAGGCGTAAGTAAAACATATGTGAAACATAAACGAAACATATGTGAAACGTATATGAAACATATGTCAAACATAAGACAAAACATATGTGGAACGCAAACGAAACATAAATGGAATATAATTGAAACATAAGTGACACATAAAGCAAAACATGTGTGTGAAATTTGCAACATATGTGAAACATGAGTTGGCCGTCCCCCCTGTGTCAAGCAGTTGCCAATTTGAAATCCAAACCTGGTACAAACCTGCAGCCAATGTGAAACTGATGTCTCCCACATGTTTCACATATGTCTGACATACGTTTTGTTTGCGCAGCACTTGCGTCAGGCAAAAGTCTAAGATCTTATTCTGGGAAAATAAGATCTTAGGATTTTGACATACATAAAAAAACACAAGCGAAACACAAACAAAACATAAACAAAACACAAATGTAGCATAAACTTGTTTATGTTTTTGTTGTGTTCTGTTTATGTTTTGGTTTATGTTTTGTTTGTGTTTTTTGTGTCAATTATTTGCGTATGGCCTTATTTTTATGTTTTTTTTGTGTTTTTTATGCTTGTTTGCACAAAAAAACACAAAAAAACATAAAAATAAGGCCTTACGCAAATAATTGACACAAAAAACACAAACAAAACAGAAACCAAAACATAAACAGAACGCAACAAAAACATAAACAAGTTTATGCTACATTTGTGTTTTGTTTATGTTTTGTTTGTGTTTCGCTTGTGTTTTTTTATGTATGTCAAAATCCTAAGATCTTATTTTCCCAGAATAAGATCTTAGACTTTTGCCTGACGCAAGTGCTGCGCAAACAAAGCGTATGTCAAACACAAGTGAAACACTGAGCAAACATTGTGTCACATAACTCCGCTCACCTCCAGAGAAGATGGAAACACGTGCGCGACAGTTGGGACACATGACTGCCAGAATGGTTTGTGGATTCATTTGTGTTTTGTTGATGAATCGTTTTATGTTTTATTGTGGATTCACTTGCGTTCTGTTTATGATGAGTTTCCGATGTGTTTATGATTCACGTGTGTTTGCTTTTATGTTGCGTTTACGTTGTTTTATGTTGGTTCTTTACGTCTTTGGTTTATGTAAGGCTCTTAGCCCTCAGATCTGGTTCCTATAGACGAAGCCCTTTGGGTTTACCTAACTTATATGGTTAATGATGGTTAATGATGGTTAATAATGATCTGATTGGTGGTAAACCTACCCCTCTGAAAAATATGAGTTCGTCAATGGGGTTGGGATTATCCCATATATGAAATGGAAAATAAAACTGATGTTCCACACCACCAACCAGCTAATGGCATCAACAGGAACTGATAGGAAACCATGGTTTTTACCATTTACCCTCTGGTTATGTCAAAATAGCGAACTAGAAAATCACAATTTTTAAGTTCGGTAAACCATCTATTTCTATGGACCATTTTCCATAGCATTTTTCCATAGCATTTTGTATGTTTACCAGAGGGTACCAGTGGTATCACCGATCGAGTTTTTAGGAAAATGAGAATTAATACATCATATTCGTTAAAATGAATGGAATGGTTTAAGGCAAAATCTTAACCGGAACCCATGGCTTTTACCATCAATCAGCGGGTTTCCCGCTTCAATTATACCTCAAGCCAATCCATTGATAATACAGAATATATTGTAATATCCCATTTATTACCATTGAATCTGATATTTTCCATCATTATCCATCACCCAAGTAAACTTGGAGTGGTAATGGCAAACGAATCCAGTTTTAAAATGGAGTCATATTGGTTAATAATGGGATATTTATTGGAATGCCCTTTGGTAATCAAACATTGCATTGGGAAATCCCCTCGTCTTTTGTCGAAAAGATCATGATCTTTTTGCTGATCACTCAGGTTTTTTTTCGCATCCACCAATGCAGGTAATGCTCCATTTGTCATGCATGATGATGGGTGATTGTAATTAATCCTTCCAAAACCGATTCATTCCCAGTAATGATCTATCTGTATGATGATGGATAAATATAACTTTCATTTTCTATTACAACGATGGATCGCTTCAAACTTATTTCCTGGATAGTTTTGTGATAATGATGATCTGGATGATGGATAATAATAGAAACATATTCAATTCTATGGCAATAACCCTGTCGTGTGTATCCCAGTTGAAAATATCCCTAAATATATGTATAATCAGATAACCAAGAGTATGATATTCAACCAAATGAAAAATGGGAGTTGACGAAGTGAAAGTCACTTAGATGAATGGGTTATATATGGGTTAACCGCATTAGGGGGTATTATGCACATCCAAGTACCCCTCAGGAAATCGTCAATTTGTTGCTTGATAATGATAGCCATCGCTTGCAGTTAAGATAGCGATTTTGTGAACCATTTGTAGGTGTTTATCCCATGTTGTCTACTTGCAATGGAAGAATCAGCCGTTTAGATTTTTCATATGTTCCTCAATGGGTTTGTTGGGAAAAATCTTCACCGGAAACCATGGTTTTTACAATGAAAAAACATTGTTTTTTACCAAAAAAATTAGGCTTTCCCGTCATGTTTCCCTACCGAACCATTGAGTTCCCGCTAACTTCCGCTCGGGGATTTCCCACCACACGGCAGCCATGGCAAACATGACCGAGATCCAATGGTTTTCCCAAATCCCCAGGTGAAGTATCAAAAGATTTCGTGGATTTCATGGATTTCATAACTGGTTGGTGGTTTCAATCCCTCTGAAAAACGATGGAGTTCGTCAGATTGGATCATCATCCTAACTATTCGGCAAAAAAAATGTTCCAAACCACCAACCAGATAAGTTTTGATCTATCCCCACATGAATATCATAAGTTGATTGAAATCTGCCGCAAGCGATCGCGCTGCCAATCCGTATGATAATTCTGATACTGAGCATGATTTTTGATGTTTGCTGGCTGTTTGGGCAGAATTTTCATGGAAATGGAAAAACATCCCATGACCATCCAAGGTTTCCTCGTTTCTGCTGGCTCCGAGTTCAAAAAAGGCCATGGGATCTCCCATCCCCCGGGGCCTATCTACATCCAATTCCTCTGGAGTCACTGGATCATCTTCCCCATTAGGGGATATCCCGTTAGTTGCGATATGAGTGACTATGAGTGACGGGATGAATGGGGATATGCCAAATTTAGACATCATCTGAAAATTGGATATTCTTAGATTGCCATTTGAAGGGATATCCCATTTTCAGACACATCTGTGTTGGTCAAATCACGCAGCCCGACTTTCCGACGGCATCCCAAGTGATGGAAACCATCTTAAAAGTAGCATAGAGAATCTGTATATACCTACTCACATATTATATATATATATTATACATATATATATATTATACATATATATATATCATACATATATATATTATACATATATATATATATATATTTATATTTATATAATACATATATTTATATATGTAATTATTATATATACATACAGATATGGAATGGTATTTATTGATGATTCTCCACTTACTAGCTGGGATGCACATCCAAAAAGCTGCAGAACCCCATTGTCCCTCCTGGATAATGCCCTGGTTCACCATGACAATGGTCCCCTCTGCCAGCATCTGCAGAAGAATCGCAGGTTCAACATGGCAATACGTTGGTTCCATAGTGCTGTGTATACTAATTACATGTACCCTTCATGAACGGATCAGTTTTCAAGGACAATGTTGGTAATATCCGATATCCCATGGAGAATTATAGGGCACGTAAGCCTACGTAAGCCGCTAACATTCGCCACCCAAATGGCCCAATGGAGGGTGGAAGCAACGCGCTGACAGGTGCCGTAGAAAGTGTGAGTCAATCCACGTTCCAAATGTCCATGTAATGGGAAGAATGATTTAAAATCATTATATATATATATATTTTGGGAGTTCTCGCCATATACTGGATGATAGTCACATGGGAATACATTATGTAGAAGTTGTTCACAACCCTCTGTATGGACTGTGAGAATCGCCGATATATACCGAATTTTGTTGGGTGAATACCAAATTCCATGGTATGTATACATTACGTCGAAATATACCATGGTTTAATCGCGCTTTGCCCCAGACTTCCCGGTCTCCATCGGTGTTTCACCTCTGAAAAAATGTCCAGCGCTCGCTGCAGCTCATGGCCATTCTGGCGGAGTCCCATGATGGAAACATCGGCAGAAGGGCAACTTGTTGGTTTATAACTCCAATAACTATGGTTTATGATACCTATAACATCTTATAACATCTTATAACTATAGTTCATAGGGTTTATACACCAACTTATCAACCCCCATTGTAGGTTTTGGTTGTGTAAGGTAAACATTGGGGGGGTTCGGAGGTACCTTTCCTGCAACAGAAACTCCATGGCTAGGTTGTGCGAAACAATTTGCAACCGATCATGGGGACAATGATGATTTTGCATCAAGACCAACACGAGCACCAGGGAAAAGAACTTTTTTGGGGTTGACTTACAGTATAACCAATAGGATCCATGTATGGTATATATGCTAACATTTGGGGTATATTGATGGTAAATGTTACCATATATAGCATACATGGATCCTATGGGTAAGGTTTCCGACTTCATGGGTCGGTTCGCGATTCAAAATCAACCCCATGTCGTCCTCTAAGCTGGCACACCCTGGAAACATGCGAGCAGCGGTCGTTGTTAAAAGCACAACCGTCAGCAAGCGTCAAGCCTTGACTTTTGCGCACTATTAAACCATAAGACAACACAGGTAGGTTGAAAAACACCCTAACCCCCCACAATAACTCACCAACATCAACCAACAGTTTGTTTTGCTTGGAAACTCGCATGTTGTTTGTTAAAACCTTCCTTGGTAATGGTTTGTGTCCACGTCTGATTGATGAATCAAGCATTCTCTATCATTTTGCCCCAACTTTGTGGTGCTTTAACATTTTTTTCTTAGTAACATCAACGCATTTTGCCAATAATGGGTCACAATCATAACAATCCACCAAAAGCTAACAAAGCATCATAAATCAATTATACTCGTTTAAGTTTGATGGACGAAATACTTCCACATGATGGTTTCATATCTACCAATTGGTAAAACTTGGACACTGCTCATATGTATTATACAATTGAGACCCACTTGTTTCTGGTATAGTTTAACCATCTGCCAATGTGGATTAAACCTCGCTAGATACGAGGTTTCAGCAATGGAAATGAACATTTACCAAACAGAAATGGGGGACCACCCAGGAAATATGGTGGTTGAACCAACAAAAATGTGTTGTTAACCAGGAGAAAATTGGGCGAATCTAGACTATGGTTGGTCTAAGAATGGAGGTGGAGAGATCACCTGGATAAAACGTAAAAAATGGCGAGTCATAATGTTGATCAAATGGGTGATAGGATGACAACGAGGCAGACCCAACCGTTTTCTGTGGGATACGATGGGATATAAGTAGACTTACAATGAAGCGTCTTCTCCTCGCTTCTTCGCATCCAAGAGCCTAGAAGGTTTACTTTTCCATGCCGGGGATTGTCACCGCCTATTGATTGGGGTTAATAGTGGTCAATATATACCGCATAAAAAATGAAATCTCATCCATGATCATGGGATAACCATAGCCCATGTTGTGACAGTATTTGACAGTGGCACATTTGGCAGTCCGCCAGCAATCTGCATTGAAGCATTGGTTCTCAGTGCTTGCAACGATGGCAAAACGCCTGGAGTTTACCCATGTGCAGAGTCCAATGTTCTTATCAAAAGGATCAAAGGGATACAGGTATTCTCCATTAAACGAAATCTAGAAGCTGTTGTGTTCGTTTTGGGTGCCAGTCGGCTCGAGGCGGCAGAAGCCGTGCGGCAGTGCTCCATATGCAACAATGAGGTCATCACCTGGAACCCATTCTGTATCGTCCAACCACACAATGTTCCAGTCGCTCATTGGGTATCCAGACTTTGGCTTCCAAGAAGTTGAAATCGTCAAAACCGACATCTGTTCTTCGACAGATATGCGGTGGAAGGGAAATTCGCCTGTGTGACGAAAGACCTGCATGAAGTGATGGTTTTGACAATAATAACGATCCCAGAGGAAGTTTCCAGTACGTGGAGACAACGATAAGTTTCGTGCTAGTTCAACCATGGTTAACCAGCCATTTTTACCATGGTTAACCGAGTTCAACCATGGATAACCAGCCGTTTTAACCATGGTTAACTAACCATTTTGCCATCCCCGGTCCCGGTGGAACGCTGGGAAAAGCAACGGCCTCCTCGACCATCTTGGCGCATAAGGCGCCTTCAGCTTGGCTCAGCAAGACGTGCCAATCAAACTCCTGAAACGCTCGCCCCCTGGGAAAAGGATGGTGACATATAGATTACACAGCGGTTTATTCGATATACAAACATTATATATCATATATCTTTGGAGAGGTAAACATGATATGTATATATATATGTGTATGTATATGTATGTATACATTTAAAAACAAAACTATGGGAATGATAAAAGGATTATGATTATCGATGTTTTTTTGAACAATGAACCACAGTTTATCACATATGGTGCATATATATATAATGATAATGAATGGTTGTAAAATGAATACATAGGAATTTTATGGGATAATATGGACTTGGTATAATTATATAGGTATGTAATGGGAAAATATGGAACTGAGTGGGATAATATCGATCCATATTCATATTTGTAAAATAATGGGATGCAATATGGCACACCATAGTTTTATATCAATACAAATGGTATGTATCTATGATAGCTATTTTTCCATATGAATATATAGTTGTAATATGGAATGATCATGGAATGTAATATGAATATATATATATATATACATACATATATATATATATATATTATGAATATACTAAACGATGGGATGATATGGATATGATATGGTTAGAATATAGGCTATGATATGTTATAATATGGGTATATGATGGGTATCCCACATGGAATATCTGAATACAAAAAATGGATCTAGGGACTATATATAATGGTATAAGGCATTGGACACACCAGCGTCGATTCATGTCGATTCGCCGCAGCTGCGAGGATGCTGCTGCGGGATGCATTGGGCTACCATCAACACGCCTATGGTATTAAGCATCCGAGAAATATATTTTGAGGCTAAATCCACCAAATATTTTGAGGCTAAATCCACCATGTCTGTTGACTAACAACCATTGCCTGTTGGGTAAATATCCATGTCTGTTGGCCAAATCACCATGTTTGTTGGCTACAGTTCCACTTCGTGAAGGTCCCCAGGTGGGCATGGGTTAAAAGCATGTACCTCCCACATTTTGGATGGTTAAGCCATGACGATTCATGTACAGTAATGCTGCCAAACCACGTCAGGCACAAGCTGCACAAGCTTCACGAAGCTTGTCGAAGAGCCAAGATGGAACCTATTGTGTAGGTTGATCAAATATTTTCCAATACGGCGTGGGGTCTTGCAACACACGTGCTTCCAGACCCTTACTGACCGAGAGGAGCAGCATCGGGTTGTCTGGCTCTTCTTGGACGGAGAGCTCTGTGTTTTCTTTTGGTGAAGCTATGGTTCCCTGCACACCCTCGACCACGCCACGTAATTTCACTGATTTGCAATAGAGGAAGTTTTAACCCCCTTTTGTTTGCGTTGGTTGTGGGGGTGTCGCTAAATGTTCTGGACCCCGCTCTCGAATGGAACATTGTTGTGTGATGCTTCGTTGAAGTCGGCAAAGTAATTGATCCTCTGAGACTCTGTTTTTCCCCAACCTTCCAAAGTTTGACGCTATATGGCCAAGTGATATAACTCAACAAGGTTCCGATACGTTCCGATAATCAATAATCAACACGAGGTTGGACCTGTCAAAAACGATAACGATGTGCTAAAACAATGAAAACATGTGAGTCAATTTTGGTAACCCCAGATTACATAGCAACCCTACGTAGATGATATTAACACCCTAGGCTCTTCAAGTGGGAGATGGTACGATTCTAGTAGCAATTACCGTCCCGCAAGTCAACCAAAATTACCTGGCGGCTAATAACATCTTATATATAACCCACTTATAAGTCTTATCATTCCCAAATCTGTGGTTTGGAATTGTTTTAACCACATTATAACCCACTTATAATCAGGCGGAACTATGGCCTACTTAGATGAAACAAAGTCATCCGGGATTGACGTTCGATTCCCCTTGCAACTGTAGGTGGATCCATCCGAAATATGTTCCTCCAATAAAAACAACCAAAACGATTGGAACATATGGATTAAGTTATGCAACATACCATTAACACAATCATGAATCCAACATCATTCTGGAATAATTCAAGGGATCTTGCATCAACATAAATCACTGAAAGAGACACATCTTGGAAACATCTGAGACCCAACTCTGGTGAATCTTACATTTCGGTAGAGAAAATGAGGTTCAAGACCACTAGATTTTGTGGTAAATTCACCCAACACATCATGGTTGTATCCTATCAAAGTATATTAAAACTACAGGAAACAGTATTATTAAGCACACTAATCCATATTGAACCATATTGAACCATCTAAAATCACATGAAACGCCAACAAACCCCCATGTTTGCTCCAACAACGGGTCTGAAGGCATCGTCCTCCACGTCTCTAGAGGCGTCCAAGTCCAAGCGATGTAGCTCAAAGATCTTGGCCTTCAGAACAACAGCCCTCAAAAAGGTGGTGACAATTGTTGGTTAAATCCCATGTATTGGATATATGAGGCTGGATTCTATGGTTTATGGTAGGTATAACGAACTAGTTAATGGTTTATGATAGATGACAGTTTCATTGATATGGAGGTTTGCAAAAAAACTTCCAAAGAACTGTGGTTCATTGTTTAATGCCATAGATAATAGTAATGCCATTATCATTCTCATAGATATAATATGTTATTTATACCACTGCATTGCTTATCATGGAAAATCCTACCAAAATGGATGATTTGGGGGTATCCCCATTTTAGGAAATTTCAATATATCGCCATTACTTAATGGTTAATGCCATATGAATATCATATATGAACGGGAATATCATAAATTATTGATGGTAATTAAAAATGGATTGATGGTCAACCAATAGTTCGTCATGGGGGTACAACCAACAACAGTGGATGATGAATGGATAACTAGTGGATATTTGGGTTAGATTATGGGTCCCATTAGATTATCATATAACTGTCCATTTGTAATTGATTTACCTCTTAGAATTCGTGATTTTCCATAGCTATGTTAGTTTACCATATATCCATTCGATTAGAACAACATGTTCCATGTAAAATAACTATGGGGGTAGATGTTATTTTCAGACACCCCAAAAAATGGGTTCTCATTCCACACATGGGGTTATAACTGACTACGTGCCTGGAACAATCTCATTAGCGATATTTATATCTTTAGGTGCAGGTGTTTCCTCACCCCAAATGAAAAGATGGGGATACTTGGGATCATCATTCTGCCCTTTAGCCCATGAAGTTTTTGGGAAAATTACTTCCCATTCATATAGTTACGGTTTCAAGAAAAATATGAAGTTTAGGGATATTTCTTGAGATATTATTGGAATCTACAATATAAATATATATATATATATGTTCATGCGGGTTTCAATGGAGAGTCTGATTATCGGTTCAGAAGTGACCATTTTCATGTATGTAGTATGTGGTGATTGAGGGTCATCATTCGAGGTGTATTGGAATGACCGCTGGCTTCTTATTTCCACATAGGGTTATTGGAATGAATCACCATGTTTTATTTAATTGATCACCCAAGTGCATACAGTATATTTGTCAAGTGGGGTTTGTTCCTCTGAAATGGAATTTGATCAGAGTTATGTTTCTCTCACACACCACATTCCATGACATACTACAAACCATGTTGGGTTATACAAGCTGCCTCGTGCGGATGATCGACTATATAACCCACTATGGGGAATTGCCATCAACCAACCGAAGGGTATGGGGAATGATAGGGGTCAAGATGCTGGTAAACTATAGTATGAATAGATGATCTTAATCAGTAAAGTTTTTTCTGTGACTTGGCCAATCCCCATAAGTCGATTAAGCCCAAAAAAAATCAGTTTCCATGGCTGGCTAATGTGCTTTTGGTTTAAATCAACAAGTTTTTGATTGCAACAACCCCAAAATAGATACCGTAGAACAAATTGGACACCAATTATGAATAAATGTTCTCCATCATATCCTGAAACAAAAAAACATGTCTTGTTTGGTTTGGGACCTAACAAAAACACTATTGTGGTTAGCTAATCCTTTTTTCAACCGCCATGTTGCAAAGTCGAACCCCTTGATAAAACATGTGAGGACAGCCAAAAATGCCAGTTGAATGGGTCAAAATTGAACTAGTTGGTTTGTACGTTGGCCCGTTCGTCAAAGTGTTTAGGAACACAACACCTCTCCAATTGGGTGGGTTTAAACCCAACTTAATAATTAGCTGGAGTTCGGCAAACTAAGCATCAACCAACCATGATTTCTGGCTCGTGCACCCATATTTCTATGAAATCCACATTCTTGATTGTTCGTGGCCAATACTCAATGTAAACCAACAACTAACCATCATGTCTGTTCATCATGTAGATAAACATATATAGTTAGTCTTGAAACTTGTAGAGTTACCTTCTAATTATTTTGGACAAAAGTTTGTCAATCCAAATCTGACCACAGGATAAATTATTTCATATATATATATTTATTTGTATGTAGGGAATTGAATCGATATGATTGAGTGTGTGCAATGGAAATCTACATAATGGTATTCCTATTGCTACATCATGGGCATGGACAATAGTGGAACCTAACCATGTCATTATTGTAGTCCAATGGAATGCCTGGAGCTACCTGACTTCACCAAATCTGTGCCAAGCTGCACAGCGGCTCTCGAGGCAATTTAGTTTCTTGCCGATCAGGTGCAACTCTGTGCTGCTGTCTCGCTGCACCTGAAGGAGCTGCCACATCAGCTGCTGCGTCTGTTCCTTGCGTGAACAGAAGTTTATCAATCCTTGCTGCGTTTATTTCTATCATGACCCGTGAGTCAACAAGTTGTGGCTGGTGACCTTGGACAGCCAGTTGCGTGCACAGCAAACACGCTCAACATCTGAAGCCTCATATTGATACGTGCTCCCCCAGGCCATCATGATCACAATCCGCCGTCCACCCGAAGCTGAGGATGCCATGTCAGACAGCCCAACCGTTCAGAGGAGGTCAGAGGTCACAAGTCGCTAGCTGGAGCGGAACATTTCAAATCAAATGGAATGCCACGTAAGCCAAGCTATGCAAACTTGAAGCCGCCCGAACATAATTGCAAGCAAGCCGAAACTTTTCACTTTGCAGTGCCGGTCCTGTTACCAACCTTCCCTGGACAAACGCTATTCTATGCATCTGTCACTCCCTGGTGGTGCTCGTTTCAGCAATGCAAGACCTGCTGGACTGGACCCCTAGCAGTGTCCAAAACCCTCTGTCGTCCCGATATAATCCCAGTTAATCATCGGCCAACAGTGGATCTGAACAGCAGGCAACTCAAGATGAACCTTGCGAATCATTCCTGGTTTTTTAACCAGCCATCAATTGTCAGTAAAATCCCATAGAACAAACATATTAATATATAATCTTATATCCCCATAGCTTGATAGTCTAAATCCACATCAAATCCGATATAGCCAACATATCATCTTATATACCTATAGTTTGATAGTTAAAATCCATATCAAATCCATCTCATTCCCTGGGTTTTCTGTCCTCGTCCCTGACTCGGGACGTCTCCACCTGAGGAATTTCTTCGAAGGACGTGTTGCCACCGCAGTGCCGGTCGATGGTCATGATCAACCTCGGAGATGGAAATCCCTCGAATCGCTTCGCGGTGCGGGTGGAGGTGGTTGGCATGGGAAATATACACATGGAAAAGCACTTTTTTTTGAGCTGAAGTGGTTGGTCTATACGGGGAATAGCATGGAATGACCTACTTAGGATTCTTTACATTTTATGAGCCCTACTTATCGTTAGATCCCGGAACGGTCGCATACATTAGCGACATTGGTGGCAATTACACCCGCACTTTGCCAACATTGGCTGATGACAAATGATTACCATGTTTGATTCCGAAAAACAAGAGGAACAATCCTTACAGAACTGACAGTTCCAGCTATAAACGGAAATATTTCACCACAGTTCTAGGGGTTCCACATCCCAACTTATGGTTTTTTTTTCAGTGTGGTTATACCCTAAACCCTGCACCCCCCAAGTACATACCTGAACCTTATTCCACCATGAAACCAGCTGGGTCCAAATTGACTATAATTATCCCCTAAAGACACTAGTTATTGGAGTCATACACCGACTTAGCCCAAAAAATGGGACACCACCCTGTATATGAGCTTTTCCTAAAATGGTGGTACCCCCAATAGTCCATTTTTCCTTGGGATTTTCCATGAAAGAAACCACCCAGCTATTAAAATACTTCCCATTTCAACCTACCCACTCACTGGAAGTGCACTTCCAAGTCCCAGTAGTTACCTTCCCTGAGCCTCCACACTTCTCAGGTTTCCGTCGCACCTCGTACAACATTGCCTTGCCACTGGGGCAATGTTGGGTAACCACCAATGGTTTAGGTCAATGGCAGGGGATATTCAAAGTAATGTTAGTTGTGACTTGACCGAAATATTTTGGGAAAATTATTGAAAATTGCAACCAAAAAGAACCATAGGTAAACCGTTGTAATTTAAAAAAATGAGGCGAAATGGCTGAAGGATATTCGGGTAAATGGTTGTCAGCTGACTTCTAAATCAACAATATAAGTTGATACTACATAATAGTTTTGTATATGTTTACTTTACGTGTTTTCTCACCAACATTTGGAGAAAGGAGTATCCTTTAGTAGAATGTACTCTGACAATTGGCTGAATAGTTATCAGCCCAATGTTCTTAGAAAGACAGTAATTTATGGTAGAGTAAATGGTTGGCATCATGTGGTAGGACAAACCAAAAGTAGAAAATGTAGAAATGATCCAGATAGTTGAAGATATGTTTTTTTGTTATTGTGGACAATTTTGAACCTGTTTGCTATTTTGGAAGAATTTACATAACAAACATTTTGGGGATGGTCGGGACAAGGCTAAGGCAAAATCACATGTGGATGGGGTCAACAATTTTTAGAGTTTAAGTATATTCAAGTGACAAATGGAACACATAGGACTTTGGGAATTGGCTGACAGATGCTAAGAGCAAATAGAGAGAAGATTGTTCTGGTGGGGAGGCTTCACTTACCCGTCGGTAAACAAAGATGGCAAGAGTTGGAAACCGGCTCTAAAATCTATAAATGGAGCAACTATACAGGGGTGGTTGTCCATTGCCACGTTTGACTACTGGAGGGTAGGGTATCTTTGACAAAGTCCACGTGATTCAATTTTTCGACAGTGCCTGTAGCAGCAGAAATCATTTCTGGAGATCGTTAAGGTGTTTGGGATTGCATGGGAGGCATGATAAGGGTAGATCATTGAGATAGTGACGTGTCAGCAAAAGGAGCACTAGGACTAGGAGAGATTGTATGTATATATATATATATGGGGGAAGTGGTTCTTGGTGCAACTGTTTCGGACGTGGGACACTGGCAGGATAATCGACCCTGCGACTTAGACCAGCACAAAGATGTAGTTCCACACCAAGTCACCACTGGGATGAGCCACCCACCATGGTACAAAAGTTGGTGCTGAAACAGCTGCGAGTTCCCTGATCCATGAAACATATATGGTCCTCCATGATCAGATCTCCATAGCCTGGCAGCAACAAGGCGATGTAAGTTGCCATTAGTTGCCTGGTCTCTTCGTCTGCAGTAAAGGTTTCCCATCAGTGAACTGCAGAGTTTTTGGCACCAATCGACTTCCAAAACTCCAAGCGAAACAAGCGATCAATACCGCTATCAGCAATTGTTAATGCCACCGCTTGATTTTGATGCTTGAAGTCCTCATTTTTATTGGCTTAACATCAAAACAATCCAAGAAAACATTCCGGATAATTACTGTAGTTTGTTGCAATCCAAGAAGAACAACAATTTAACTTTATTCATGGAAATCTAGTGTTACCTTTGACCCCAAATTACTAAGGCCTTGCGTTTTGGGGTTATGAACCCCTGCCAACTCTTGTCAGTGTTCTCAGATCTGTTTGTTTATTGGGTATGCGTAACCATTTGACACGGTTGACACGGTAGGTTCGGTTGCATGACCATTTGAGATGGCTTGTTGAGTTCGTTAGAAACAAGATATGACTTGCATACATCAATTCACAAGGCAACTTTTTTCCAATCCCCATCAACCCTTCTTAGGAGCTTAACAAGCCTGTGGCCAAGCCAGAAATAGACCTGCAATCTGATGCTTTTTACCCACCATTTTTATCCCAGCATTGGCCGAAGGGAGAATTTGCAGGAGGCCACTGATTTCCACAGTGATTTATCATGATTGATCACTGGGTTTACCCTCTGGTAAACATACAAAAAGCTATTGAAAATGGCCATAGATATAGTGAGTTTTCCCATGAAAAATGTTGATTTTCCATAGTTTTTTGTTAGTTTACCACAGGGTATCATGATTTATCACTGGGTTTACCGCACATGGATATATGTGATATAAAATGACATGAAATGAAACAATATTATTTTTGCTCCACGACCCCAAAACATAAGATGGCTCACCTTTCATACAAATCAATGCCAAAGCAAAATATGCTACTAGGTCTATTTTTGGTATACTTTCGGGTTTGCGAAGCTTTCTGCGCTTTCTGCCTCATCGCAGAACCAAATTATAGGTGTATATTATATATATATATATTACTTCTTCAAAATTTCTGCTATAGATAATCAAATATTATTTTCTATATATATATGTTATAATCGTCAAACATAATACAATATTTCTAGGCTGGAAAACCAGGGGCGCCTGGGCTCCGGTAAAGCCGTTGATCTTATTGATGACCTGGGGACACTGGGACGGTTGCCACGGTTGCCACTCTCCAACTATATGGGGATAGTAATGGGTATATTACCGGGGTACCAGGAATTTCTGGTTGTTTAATTCTTTAATCATTTGGATAACAATAGCAGCTAGCTGGGGACAATGATTTGTTAGTAATAATGTGGATAGGACTAACCAACTACTACCAACTACAATTGGTACAAAATAAGGATACAATAACATGACAACGGTGATAACTAGTTTTGGTTCTAACTATAACGAGGACTTACTGCAACAATGAAAACAACTTAACAACTATAAGTAAACAAAATTCTGGCGATAATCAATATTTATCAAGCAAATACATGGGAAGAAACTATACAACGGGAATATATGAAACTGTAATGGGTATACAGTCCTATTCAACAGCAATTACAATGTGAATGACACTAGATTGACAATCAACCATGGGGTTAGGAATAATAATCATGAATCATGATACTAACGATGATAATGATCCAAAAGTAATGGGGATAAACCAATCATAATTGGGGTATGTATATGTATATATATTTATATTTTAATGGAGATATAATAGCATGATACGTATGATCATTATCATGAACAACATGAATATCATGAGAGCATTACCGATACATGAGTATCATAGGGAGTTCATGTAAGAACATTGCCTGTGTCCGCCTAATGAACAATACGTAATAATTTCACTACTAAGGATATCGATGCTAAAGAAAAAGGTTAACATTAAAATCAGAAATGATGACAGCAATGATAATAACGACACTACACGTACAATATGTATTTCCCGACATGTATGATGTGGTAAACCGACTGGTAAACCATCCCCAAGTCGGGGCTAATTGTTTTGTATATCCTGGTTTGGGGATAATCCATCAAATTAACAGCTCAAATGCTGATTCTACCCCAGCGACGACAGATCTTATCAAGAATCAAAAAGTGATTTGCTGGTTATCACAGCCCTGGAATAACATGAGGCATGCTGGGGAACTTAACCATCAAACATTGTGCTTTTCAAGTTTGTTTAGCTTGTTAACCTTTATGGATCAACTCCCATCGGGTGATCTTACCTGGAAAAAACATAGCTATTGAACATCACCATGTCTGGCAAGTCATCTTTGAACGGAACGTTTTCTATACAAGTAGTTAATGTAGTTATGCAATATCAATCACAAAAGGCCAATATGGATAATTACTTTATATGGGCACTTTATATGGATGGGTCTTGTGCTGATTATATGAGGGGAACGGGACTACTATGGAACGCCTGTTCAAAAGGACACAAGACAAGAGCTCAAACAACAAACCTTACAAACACAATACATATGGTTGTTTCCCTAAAATGGTGGTACCCCTAAATCATCCATTTTAATAGGATTTCCCCTCATAAACCATTCATGAAATGATAATCTGGTTGGTGGTGTCAACCCCTTCTGAAAAATATTAGTCAGTTGGGAAGGATTATCCCACATATTTGGAAAATAAAATATGGAGATCCATTAAGAGAATTGGGGATTAATGGAATTAACATGAGTTAAGTTAATTGTGTTTTTTTCGTGATTAATAGTGATTAATGGAATGAAGTGATGGTGATTAATAGTGATTATTTCATGGACTAGTTAACTAACTAACAATTATAGTGATCAATCATTATGAATAATTATGAATGGTGGTTACCCTCTGGTAATCAAACATGACAATGGAACATCCCTCATGATATATATGTATGTTTTTCCCATTTGAACCTTTTTGTTTAAGGGATTTTCCATTTCCACGTTTCATCACCGGAGGGTAGATCCCCATGAGATCACTATAAATTCCCATTGCAGACATGTTGTAATCCAGTTGCAAGCCAATTACTGAGCAGATCTTCCCAGGCGGTCGAACCAGCGGTGCCATTTCTGGTGGTTGAGCCCTACCCCTCTGAAAAATGATGGGAAACCATAGGAAAATCATGGCTGGTTGGTGATTTCAACCCCTCTGAAAAATATGAAAGTCAGTTGGGATGATGAAATTCCCAACTGAATGGAAAGTCATAAAATTCCATGGTTCCAAACCACTAACCAGATTTGGAATGCCCCGGACATTGTCAAATTCTTCGGAAATTTGAATCAATTATATCAAGTGAAATTTTCAATGAAAGAAATTGATGTATCATGGCCTTCTAATCCGAGGTACCCATCAAAAAGCCATGCCTTTTGAGCCTTTTTAGTCACTTAGTCCATTAAAATCAAAACTTTTTATGACTTATAACCTTAAAAAAATATGAAACATGGCATTTTAACTTTTCTGACAGGAATACTCTAAAAACATAATTTCATTCATCTATCTCATCTTAGACCCCCAGGTATTCAAGACCGGTAGCCACCCAGATGCATCGAGCAACATCGCCCACTTGGATGGCATAGCTGGTGGTATAGCCATGCAACTCGAACAACTCCTGGCTTCAAAAAGATGACGAAGGACCCAAATCCTCAATTGTTTATCTGGTTGGTGGTTTCAACCCCCCTGAAAAATATGAAAAAGTCAGATTGGATCATCATCCCAACTATTGGGGAAATAAAAAATGTTCCAAACCACCAATCAGTTTATAGTATTTTAATGTATTTTAGAATCAGAGTCATAGGCTATTATGTATGTTTAATGTATAATATGATGTACATATTATTTTAATGTAACTATTATTACATATGATGACATTTAATGCTCTTCTAAAAAAAACAGAATTCATTGGGACCATAAATCCTGTGAGATTTGGGGTCTCCCCAATGAATCCCAGGATGGAAAACATCGGAACGTATCGTTTGACTTTGATTTGGATCGTGAATATCCCCTTTGTAATGCCACGAAAAAAATGTTTCCGCTATCAGAAGGATATCGATCATATATTCCTCCATTGACCCGTTCGCCCTTTCATGAATCCTTCGCCAAGTCACATTCGTTGCCAGTTCTTTTTGTTGAACTCCAATTTTTTCTGATCTGAATCATCATGACCCCAGTTGCTAAGATCTAATTCACATCCATTTTGTTTCACAACCATCCCCCAAGTAACATGACCACAGCGCCACGGGGAACCACAGAACCACATCGCCGCCTGCTTGGCATTCCACAAGTCGGTGGAAGAGCCCGGAATGACCTTGAACAAGTGCGAAGTAAATCCAATGACTTGGGTATTGACTACATCAATGTGGTATATATAAGTATATATATATATGTGTATATCTATCAATGACTATATATATATGATATAGTAATATTTATATATTTATATGTATATATTAGTGTTACCCACCAATTGATTTAAACATATCCATTACTGGTTGGTGGTACACCTACCCCTCTGAAAAATGATGGAGTTCGTCAGTTGGGATGATGAAATTCCCAACTGAATGGAAAATAAAAAATGTTCCAAACAACCAACCAGACATACTGTACGTGAAAATTAATGGTACCAATTCACATGTATATATTTATATATGTGTTCCATAAAAATATCATTAAATTTCCAGCTATATAACATAATAGTTCATGCCACTGTATTCCAATCGCAAAATATATTCCATGTTTATGTATATACAGTATATATACACATCATATTGTGCTATACATATATATATATAGCAATAGTACCGCATAATCAAAAACTCCTCAAAAAAAGACATACTATATATATATATATAAGAAAGATATTGTTTATCCCTTTTCTAAATATTCAACCTATAGAGGTTTCCTAAAATGGGGGCGGCCCCGAATCATCCATGCCATTAGAGCATCTTAGTATTGAAACCAATGATAATCACTGGGGATCTTCCATTTTAAGAAACCATCTTCCATATATATATATATTCTATTATATTCTATTATATTCCCAGTTGTATATATATATATAGATAGATATAGTAAAACAGTTGTAAATATAGTAAACACATGTATAAATACATAAAAACATATACATAAATAACATAAAAAATATGCTTTAATAAATAAAAAAAACTATGATATCTAATGAGAAATAGCTATATAAATACATATATATATATATTATAAATAAATAATTACATTATATATACATATTGGGTTATATATATATAAATAATTCCATTATATATCCATATTAGGGTTATATATATACATATACAATATATATATACACATATAGGGTTATGTGAATATATAAAACATATTATACTGATAACTATATATATATTTAAATAACATTATAATATGAATCTTCCATGATATTCCGATCATGTGGATTTGTCTGAAAATCAGGTACGCCACAACTGGTTTATGAACATGTTCCCATTAAAATAGAATAACATCGACATACATTGGGCTATCACCATTTTCAGACAATCCCATATGGAGGTCTCCTGAAAATGATGGTACCCAAAATGGATGGTTTATAAGGGAAAAATCGTCTATAAATGGCTGATTTGGGGGTACCCCCATTTATGGATACCTCCATTTAGAGAAGTCTCACTTTTCATGTGGTTGATAAACATCTATTAACCATTGATAGGCCACTATAATAGATCTTAATCCCACTTGATTTTTTCCACTGATATCCCTGGGAAAAAACAACTGGGATTAACATCGATTTGTTCAAGTTAATCCATTTTCCCAGTTGATAAGTTGATCTACAATATCTGTTAATTAGATATCACACCTGGAAAAAAATCAACTAAGATCGTAACATCTATTTTGTCCAGTTAATTAAGTAGATACATATCTGGTTGGTGGTTTGAACCCCTCTGAAAAATATGAATTCGTCAGTTGGGATGATGAAATTCCCACCTGAATGGAAAATAAAATTCACGTTCCAAACCACCAACCAAGATATTACATGGATGTTAAAACCTATTAACACCTATTAAATCCACTTAATCAACTGGGATTATCCCACAGCTAATTAATAGGCAAATTATTTTTTTGCTGCGCCAGTTATCCTCACCTTCTCCACCTGCAAGAGCTTCATGGAACTTTCCGCGGGCACCAGCACCAAGCCCTCGGAACCCTCCACGCAGACCTGGTTTCGAAGTGGCGACCGACTTGGTTTAACGGGTTTTAATGAATGTGGTGATTTAATGGGTTTTAATGGATATTATATTATTGGTTTTTAATGGGTTCTGATGGACTTTAATTGGTGTCAATGGATGTTTGATGGGATAGAAGAGGAAAACAAACTATAAATTGGTATTAAGGGACCATAAACCACCTATTCTATGGAGAATTAGCCTCTGATGTCATCGAGCATGGCTGCTAAATCCCGGAACTAAATGGAGGTTTCGCAGCTTCAGCATTCTTTGCATGCAGCCCGTGGCGGCTGACACCATACTCCACTAGCCAGCAAATCACCTTCTCCACGTCCTTCTCCAGCATGTCCACCAGCATCGAATCGTGCCAGTCGAGATGACGGGGAGGGAGACGCCCCAAGGTGTTCGGGTACGCCTTGGTGTCCCGCGGGTGGAACATGGTCACGCAAATCGGACACATGTCCTGCCACGCCAGCATCTCCAGCGCAAGCTCAAATAAAACTTGTTCTTCTAAACGCCAGCAATTGATAATGCCAGCAAGTTGCTGCTAATTGCCAGCAAAATATTAATTCCATTTGAGGTCAACAACAAAAGCTTACAATGGCCAGACCAGCAGTGACACAGACACATGTTGTCTTGTTTTTTCACATATTATATATATATATATATGTATTATATGTATAAGCAAATAAATAAATAAATATATATATATATATAATTATAAAATGTGCAATTGGACCTTGATCTTGTTTTGTTGGGAAGTTGCCTGGATGTTCCCCACCTGCCAGGTGAGGGTTGTTCGATTTTATCAAAGCTGTTCTCCTCATCCTCCTCCTCCTCGTCCTCCTCCTTCTCCTCCTCCTCCTTCCTCCTCCGCGCCCTCCTCCTCTTCTACCACCTCTGCCTCCACTTCCAGGTCCACTGTTGCCTTGCCAACTCTTGGCCAAGCTCTTCGCCAACTTCGGAGCTCAGTGCGCACTGCTGGACCCCAACCTGGGACCTGCCGAGCTCAGTGCGCACCGCTGGACCTCAACCTGGGGCCTTCCGAGCTCAGTGCGCACCGCTGGACCTCAAAAGTCAGATAGAATGCCAGAAGATATGCCAGAAGATATGCCAGATAAAGTGCCAGAATGTTTGCCAGATAGAATGCCAGAAGATATGCCAGATAGAATGCAAGAAGGTATGCCAGATAGAATGTCAGATAGAATGCCAGAAGGTATGCCAGATAAAGTGCCAGAATGTTTGCCAGAACATATGCCAGAAGATTTGCCAGGTAGAATGCCAGAAGATATGCCAGATAGAATGCCAGAAGATATGCCGGATAGAATGCCAGAAGGTATGCCAGATAAAGTGCCAGAATGTTTGCCAGAACATATGCCAGAAGATATGCCAGGTAGAATGCCAGAAGATATGCCAGATAGAATGCCAGAAGATATTCCAGAGCATATGCCAGAAGATATGCCAGGTAGAATGCCAGAAGATATGCCAGGTAGAATGCCAGAAGATATGCCAGATAGAATGCCAGAAGATATCCCAGAGCATATGCCAGAAGATATGCCAGGTAGAATGCCAGAAGATATGCCAGGTAGAATGCCAGAAGATATGCCGATAGAATGCCAGAAGATATGCCAGATAAAATGCCAGAAGATATGCCAGATAGAATGCCAGAAGGTATGCCAGATAAAATGCAAGAAGATATGTCAGATAGAATGCCAGAAGATTTGCCAGATAAAATGCCAGAAGATATGTCAGATAGAATGCCAGAAGATTTGCCAGTAACAAAACCTATAGATGTCATGGTGGGGATAACTCGAAGTAAAGTAATTTTTGTGAGATCCGAGATCTGGTGCTGGATTGACTGGATTCATGGAGACTGTTGGCCACCGCAGGCAGAAATATCACAAGCTAAAAGGTGTTTCACCTCTACCAATTCTTTGGGATATCTCACCTGAAAAAAGGTTGCTTATATCACCTATATCCCAGCTCCACCAACGTCTTTGCTGATTATATCCCAGGCTAATTATATCCCATCTGGTTGGTGGTTTCAACCCCTCTGAAAAAGAGTCGTCGCTTGGGATGATTATTCTCAATATATGGAACAGTAAAGCATGTTCCAAACCACCAACCAGCCATTATATGACAACAAAGGTTTGGTCTTTCCCGATTGTCATGACATATTGCCACTGGAAATCCCTAGTATCCAATCAAATCCTTGATTGATCCCATCAAAATCCCATGATCTCGCTACATCAGGCCACAAAAACAGGTCTTCGTTATGTAAATTGAATCAACATCACCACAGGTTATGTTCAATCATAAATCAGCGATATAAATCCTAAAATCATAATGTTTCTTGATTAAATCACCATGTTCTCATGGTTGTCCTATGGTTTTCCCATGGTTTTTCCATGGTTTTCCCATGGTTTTCCCATGGTTTTCCACGCAACCATCATGAAATCCCCTGTGTCTGGTTCCACCACACCTCCATCCGGAGCCATCGCTCATTGCTCAGCAAATCTCGCGGCCCCGCACCTAGGCGGTTTAATGGGACTTTAACGGGGTTTTAATGAAATATTTGCAAGATAATTGTCAATTAACGGGACTTGATGCGATATGATAAGTGTTGGGACTTAATAGTGATTTAATGGAATGTTAACGGGCTTTCATGGGGGATATGCATATAGGAATTGAAACACAAAGGTAAAACATGGACATACTACACATGTTGATTAAGTTATTGATAATGCTCATGGTCAATCTAGACTCCCTCCGAAGTTTTTTGTTAGTAAATAATCCCAGGGCACAAGACAAGTCAGACTTGGTAACGGGGTAAAGCCAATAACAAACCGTCCCCAATGGAGGTTTATGAACTTGTGTAACCACTAGCCCTGGGATGATGAAACCCCAAATGCTTCACGGGATTGGAACTAGCAGCAAACAAGGGGGCTGGAACTTCGTGAACGATGAATAAACATGAACAAACCAGATCTAAGGCACAGTAAACCCATCTTTCAGTGGATTATGACTGGGACTATTCATCACCTGTCAACTGAGATGCACATACTATGTTTCCCTGTGATCAATAGTGAGCATCTTGAGCCTTTCCCACCTGAGACATCTAATAATGATTTAATAATGCACACGGAATGGAGGCGTGATCAACCAGTGTTGAAAGTACTGTGTGAAAAGGCCTTGGGAAACGAGCACTTTGCAAAGGGGCCAGTGAAACGAGAACTGAGAAGCTCAGGGACATGAAATATGATCAGATCGGGATTGTCGAGGCGCTTTCTGAAATTTCACAACAAATGTTGCTCCCAACACTCCAAAATTTGAGAGGAAAATTGATGAAATTAAGATGTAACCAATCACCCATTTGCCTTGGAATCCTTCACCCGGCTTCTAATCGCACCCAAGATTCTAGGCTAGGGCTTATCTCATCGGACATATCCAATGTGGGGTGACTTCACCATGGTTATAATCAGAATGAACGAGCGACGTCACTAGCCTGGTTGCAATATCACAGCTGGTTGGCTGAGCCCATTTGAAAAAAGGCGAGTGTAGAACCCCAATTCACTGACAGTTAACCTTAGTATGTTTTAGTGTTTCTGCTCACGTGTGGATACACATTCCGTATGTCACATAACCATGAAGACGACCCAGAAACCAAAATCAAATATGGTAAAACACTCGGACATGCCTCCAGAGCTTGAACGCCGCGTCTTTTGCGCAAAGCGTCTCCAGAGTAACGCGGACTCGAATTCGAGCGCGCTGCGTTGAGCTTCGCAGTCTGCTCCTCATCGAGCACGTTCATGGTTTCTTGTGCTCCCGCAACGACCTCTCGAGCGCTGGCGCCATCTGCGAAGGAGCCTGACGATGTAGTAGCAGAAAAAGAAGTAGTCGTAGCCACCGACGTGGCTTTGGTGAAAGTCATTGCAAAGCTTCTCAGCATCTCTGCCCATGGCATCAGTAGTAGTAGTAGTAGTAGTAGTAGTCGTAGTAGTAGTAGTAGTAGTCGTAGTAGTAGTAGTAGTAGTGGTAGTGGTAGTGGTAGTGGTAGTGGTAGTGGTAGTAGTACTACTACTACTACTACCACTACTACCACTACTACCACTACTACTACTACTACTACTACTACTACTAATACTACTACTACTACTACTACTAATACTACTACTACTACTACCACTACTACCACTACCACTACCACTACCACTACTACTACTACTACGACTACTACTACTACTACTACTACTAGTACTACTACTACTACTACTACTAGTCCTAGAACTAGTACTAGTAGTAGTACTTGTTGTTCTTGATTTTGATCTTGTTGTTCTTGTTGTTATTGTTGTTCTTGTTGTTCTTGTTGTTCTGGTTCGGTGTTATGATCAATTTATCTGATATGTCTATATATGTATATGTATATATGAATATATGTATATATGTAATTATACATGTAGCTCGACCCTTGTTACTGGCGGCGAGGCTAACTAATCAGCTTGGTTCAATATCACATGGGTCTACATGAATCAAAAAAATAACAATAAGATTAGTAGCAAGCAATATATATATGATACTAGTAGACATAAATGCATGTATAGATATAATTATACGCATAAATATAAATACATATATAAATACATATATAAATATATATATACATCCCATATTTAATCAAATGTTCCAAAATCATGACACATCCGAAGCCACTGCCGCAGGGCCCCTGGCGCAGGGTGACTGGGACGGATGCGCCCGGCACGATCTGAGGCAGACGAGGGACTGAATCCCCCCAAAAATGGCAATTTCCAGAGGGAAATATAGGGAAATATAGGGAAGATGATGATAAACTAGATGATGAAATGGCATTTTTTAGGATAAAAACAAAAACGGACCATCCCTCAATATTATCAATATCCTTTTAATGTCTGAATATGGGAGAATCACAGAAGAAAAGAATCAAAACAATTAAATCATTAGCTATTCCTTATCTGGATAATTCAGCTGGCAAGTATCTGAAGATTTCTTTTCAGATGGTAATCTGAATGACCCTTATGACTGGTAGAGAAGCCTCTTTCATGGTTCATACCACCTTTTTTCATGTAGGTTCTGGGCACCCTGTCACCAAAGGTTGGCCTGCTTGAATGGGATGAATCTCCAAGCAATTACATATATATATATATAATGGTCCCCAAAAAGATAAAAAAAACAGATGTTGGAAACCATTTTTTACCTATAGGTTTCCATGTGTCCAACTTTTCTTTTGAGGGATGCCATACACTAAATTCAAACCAGATTTCAGTGCATTTCTGTTATTTTTGTTGGAAAATTTTCACCATAAATAAAATCATATTGGTCGGCCATGGGGTGTGGTCGATATCTTGCTGGGATCTTTACATCCCCCCCTCCCGTGAAAAGTGATTTAATATAAACCATGTAGCTATTGTGATATATCGTGAACCCTGGTAAACCTTGGTAAACCATGGTAGACGCAGTTCCAAAACAACAACTGACCTTTTGGGGGGCCCACATTGCAAGTGGTTTGTATTTGACATGTATAAGATAAGACAAAGACACGCCACGCACTAGCTAGCTATGCTGGGCGGCAGATTTTGCTTCCCGACTGGGAACCCATCATACCCATATATGAAAATCCATCGTATATAAACCCACATCATTCCATTGAAACCAAACAAAACAGACTCGCATGCCAACTTGCAAGGACTCATGTGGAGGTATATTTAACACTAATCCACCCACGCTTTTTGAAGTGTTCCCTCCTGTTGAAATCTCCGGAAAAAAAACAGCACACCTTGCGAGGGCAGGCGTAGCGCGGTCGCTGCTTCCAGTCGTCATCTTCGGGGTCCTGCGCCGCTGCGCCGATTCGGAACGAAGAATTCCATCCTTCCATTTGTTCAACACCCCAAATGGTCCCAATAAGTGTATATATATATATACATATGTACTGTGTATAAATTTATATATATATATATACATATGTACTGTATATCTTTTTTTTCCATCCGGCCCAATTATGCTCCCGGCAGCGGCCTGCAAAGTGAATTCCAGCTTCATGCCTAGCCCTTGAAATCAGCACCAATGACATCGCCATAATTTTGTACATTGAGGGCTTTGTATTGGCCTAAACGGGCATCATCAGGCTCGGGGACCTCCGTGGCAACATGTGTCTGTGCCATGCCACGTGTGATCGACAGAGCAATGTTACGGCAAAACGCCGGTGCGTACTCTTTCAGAGCCGTTGTCTTTCAGCATCCCATGTGGTCCTTCCCTATGGCAATCTTACCAGGGAGTTCAGTCCGAACTCTACACGCATGGAGGTCTATCATGAGATCTGGTAAATTGACAGTAAGTAAATGGGTTGGTTTCGGTGTGGCCGATCCCATTAACCCCTGTGCTAGTCTAATTCGCTGTACATTTGGTAGGGCAAGCAGTGTTCGAACTACTGGAAGGCGCCAAATTGACGCAGCAGTTGGAAGATGCTCTGGCTCAGCGGGGTGTTCTAGTATTGCGAATCCGTTGATGAGAATGATTTCCAGAGTTGCAACCAGGGCGAAACTCAAAAGATAGTTTCCCGAGTTTCCCGTGTAGAGCTGTAGTAGCTCTTTCAGTCGCACACTGTTGAACCCCCACAAATGGTCCAGGTCGCGAATGACTCGGAGACCAAGAGGTGGGCATACTTCACCTTCTTCATCAAACACTTGGTCATGATGTCCGCGCGCACACGACCAAGATTCACATGGTGGTCCCGCGATGAATGCAATCACGTGCTTCATGCGGATGGATTGGAACCAAAATTCCCATGTGTCCAAATTCATGGCATGTCCTTTCACAGGGTCAACGATCACGTCCATGGAAACAACGTGCAAAATATAGCCATCATGATGAGCAGCTAAATGATCCAGGACATATTGTATGTCTCCCCTTCTCCTTCTTCCTGAAAAAGCTTGGAGAACAACTCTGTGTTTTCCAAAGGCCCTAGCAGGAATGTGAAGTCCGGCAGTCTTCAGTGTTTGTTTAAGACATGCGCACTCCTTCCAGCGTCTGAAGGTTGTCCTGCTGTCGCACCTTCAGAACATCCCTTAGAAAGGGCCAGTTGTGAGGACTGCTCAAACCACATAGTACCGCTTTGATCTTCTGCAGGTTGAAGCCAATCTGCACCTCATCATTCTCGTCCAGGGTGTCCATGAAGAAGAGGAAAGTGCGTCGCAAACATGTCCATGATATAGCAAGCCCCGCAACATGGCTGCGTACACGATGTTCAAAACTGTTGTGATCTGGCAACTCAATGAGCGCATCAATCAAAAACTGATGCACTCCATCATCAATATTACAGGTCTCCCATCTTCTCTGCGGAGGGAGGTGTGGCCCATGTCCAGTGAGTGGGGGCAAGAGCCTGTCATGAGCTTTGACTCTCTCTCCATCCTGTTTGGATCCAGCTCCAGGAACAACTTGACAACGCAGGTTTCTACTTCGCAGAACTTCCTGACATCTCTCTGTGTAATAGAGATGAGCTTTCAACTTCGCCATGGTGTGAAAGTTCTTGAGGCAAGCACTGCAAGTGGGTTCATCTGCAAGAAGTCGGAGTCCAGAAACTTGTTGGTGTACACGGAACATGTGCGCAGCTTCGCCAGCTCGCGTACGGCATTTGCGTTGGCAACCTACACATCCAAAGACAGTGTCGTCCTCATTGTGGCAAATCCTCATCATCGGCATCTGGATCCTGTGTATGGATCAGAGGACGCAAGCGTCCCAGCACTCGATGATGCAAATCACAAACTTGGTGTTCTCGTTGTCGTTGAAGCACACTGTGGTGACATGCTCGTTTGACAAGTCTCTTCCAGAAACCAGGGCTATGCTCAATAATGGCCAGCCACTGTTCATAGTGCTGTCGCGGATCCTTGAGTTCTGATGCACCCTTCAATTGTTTCCACATCCAGAGCATGTCCTCTTCCAGCATACCTCTCCAAAAGATGTCATGCGCCAGTAGTGCCCAGATGTCTGGGAGCTCTGTGTGAACAAGCGTGACAATGTACCGGAGACGTGCGCGGCGTAGATGTTCTTCAGGACTCGGAAGTCCAACCATGACTAGTACCTCCGTATCAGAACAGTGATCATCACGTTGTACACCTGCAAGACGTTTATATAGGTTGATGACCGTAGTGTGAAACTTGCGCTCTGTTTTGGAATTTGTGGCTACCCAAGAATCAGCACCATAAAGCAACTTAGATAACACAAGCATGTTGAATAGCTCCGCTCTCTTGCCAAGTGGTATCTGTCGGTTCTGGTAGATGACCTTCTTGTGTTGATTCAGAGCCTGGTGCGCAGTTGCAGCACGTTGGTTGATTTCAACTTGCGAACCTCCAGTGTGATGTACCAACGCACCAAGGTGCTTATAGCGCTGCACCAGTGATATGTGTCGTACCCCTCTTTCACACACTACTGGCAAAGTAGATGGTGCATTTGGTCCGAAGAGGTTGACTTTGTGCCTGCGACTGCCTGGTCCTCTCAAAGCCAGAAGGATTTCTGACTTTCATTTCTTCAAATTTGGTGACATGCAATGTTTTTTCACAAACATCTAATAGGACGCCTGCAAGGTGCCCTGTTTTTGAAATAACCTCTTCGGCTGTGCTGGCACGTACACACAACGCAAGATCATCCATCCACGTGGGACCAATGAATGGAAAAGGACTTCTTGGTCTTCTGCTCTCTCCCAAACATCGGCAACATGGTGTGCTCCTCCAGCTTCATGATCATGTTCTGGGCGTACATGAACTCTTCAATCTCTTTAAGCACACGGCTCCATGCAAAAGAGAAAATCCAATCAGCAAATGAGTCTCCAGGTCTCGTCCCTATACGGGTTCTCGATGCCTCTTGTCCCCGGATCCAGACGTGAGTGCTTGTGTGCATAGCACGAATGGCGTTGCAATCTCTGGAGTTCATTCCGGCTTCACTGAAAACACAATCTTGTTGGAGCATTCTGTGGATGTCATGAAGTGAGTCAGGAGGTAGGCCCAGTTTGTGCATGATGTGCGCAACAACCGAATCTGGAGTCTCCCCACCAAGTGGAATTTCACGGAGCAACCTATGAAAGGCTTCAGTTAAATCGAGGAAGATGATGCCCGTTGAGATGCCGCGCTGTTGATTCATCCTGAAATAAGCTCTCAGTTGGTGCAGTGCCAACTGAACCGGCACATGCTTTCTCCCTCCTGTCTGTTGATGTTGCAGAAAAGCATGTAAGAGGGAGGAATGCTTCTCACGCACCGTGCGGTGTAGAGCTTTACCAAGATGGTTGCTTACAAGCAGCGATCTATATGACGAGCAAGATTCTGTTGATCCACGACCTTTATACACAGGTGTCAATCTGCCTCCTTTGAACCCAAGATGTTCATGTCCATGAATGAGGATCTTCATGAGATGAGGATAAAGGCGTCTTGCGATGTCTGTGGCGCGGTGTCTACAGATTTCACCTGGGATACCATCCGGACCGCAAGCTCGTCATGATGGAACACGTCGTAGTGAAATCTCTGAATCTGTCAGAGTTGGGAGGTCTTTCAAATCAACAGCAATCTGATCATATTGGAAGTGGCACAATTCTTCGATCCATGTCTGTCGCAAAGCATGATCTGGCATCCTTTGTCCACATTCCATGTCCTGAAAGAACTCTACCCATGTAACCACAGTTTCACTATGGAGTGTGCATGGTGATCCATGTACATTGTGGATGAGCGGTAGCGGCTTGTGCTTGTGTTTCTTGGGATTGCTAGGTCCTGTGAAAGGCCGCAATCGCCTCAGAATCTCCGATGCAGGTAAGTCTGGTTCCATGTCATTCATGGTGTTCATGAGGACTGTTTGCTTTGCCACCACAAGCAGTCGTTTGAGTTTCCAGGCAACCTGTCGGAGTTGTGCAACTCTGCAGACTTGTGCGCAATAAATGTGTGTTCTAAATGTGCTGTCATATGCTGCAGGTGGCATATGGTGATGATCAACAGCAGCGTTCCATGCAGTGAACATCTGCTTCAGATAAGTCTTGGCCAGTTGTGTTCCGTTGTATTTGAGTCTCCTTCTGAGTTCAAGTTTGACCTTTCCCGACGACCAGATCTCATCTGTGATGTAAGGGTTTTCGCCTCGTTGGTTTCGCCAAAGTAGGGGTCACCAATTGGCGGAGGTAGGCAGTGAGTGTTTCCGCTTGCTTCTCCACATTGGTTTTCCACGGTGGTACTTGTAGTTGTTGAATGCAACTGCGTAAGTCTGGCCTCTGCACATAGCATGACATCATCATCTCCACCTTCATGGTCTCCAGTGTTTGGTACATTTGGAGGATCAACCACGTAGTCATACCACCCTAGCATGTACATTGTGTGCCGGTCCAGGACATCATCAGGTGTCATGCCTTGGTAGTAGGCTGTTGCCAAACATCTGGTGGCAATGTGGTCCATATCAGATCCAGGTGGTGGTAGAGCAACACGTATATAGTCACCGTCATAGAGCTCCATCAACGTTGAGCTCAGTGGGACCAACGCATTGTTTCTCCATACAAGACATCTGTGCTGCACGCTAGAGCAGTATTTGCTAAGGCCCAACTGCCTCAGTAGTCTTTCACGGGAAATGGGTTCAACCAATTTGTATGCTTGCCGTACCACTTCAGGTTGCAAAATTGTCCTACTAGAGAGGAACTCCACGTCCAACAAGACCAGTCGTTCCATGGAGCCAGGTCCGATGTCTGTAGCACGCTGCGGAAGGACAGGTTCAACATAGGCACGAAAAAGGTCTTGTGGTGGATATCTGGCATGATGTACATGATATAGGTCACCAGGTAGTACTTGTAGTTCTCGAGCAATGCTTGCGTGCAGGAGCTCATAGTCATTCCAGTCAAGTCTCATAGTTGTTGCTTGTTCATTCAGTGGAAAACTCAAGGTTGTCTGCCAGTTACTTCGAACTGGACGGACAATGGACCAAGAGTCCTCTGAACTGCTCTCAGCATCAACTTGTAGTGGTTCTTGCTCTGGGTCATCACTTTGCTGTGCAATTTCTGGCTGATCCAAAAGAAATGCTTCAGGATGATGATTGGGAACTGGGGTAATGTCCGGGACATTGATCGCATCAGCAACATTTGATCATGGTCAAATTCAGAATGAGGTTGAAAACTATGAGCATCTAGGTGAGGAACTCCTAGTGCATGAGGCCAAATCGTGAAGTCATGGTCGCACTCAGATCCCACATAGAGTTCGACTGTTGACACAAAAGATACTTTTGGAGTAGTGGTTTTGGGAGGCTTGAATACGACTGTCTCTGCAATATCAAACTCAGAGAATCCAAGTTCAAATGCTAAGTCCAGTGCATCAGTGCTCGCTTTCCACTCAGGAACAAAGTAATTCTTGTCCAGGATGCTATGGTTCCAGTAGAGCACGTTGGCATCGCTCAACTGGTCGATCTGCGGCGCTCGACAAACCTCTGTGAAGTCTATTTGTCCGCCTTGGCAAAAGGCTCCAACATCCTTTTGCCACCAAGAGAGGCACCACCAGATTGCCCATCTTCTCCAGCATCTGTGCGTGCTCTTTTGGCCACCTGTCCGTCTTCTGAGATCTCCTCTGTTTGTGCAACTCGAACTGCTTCGAGGTTTTTCACCATGGTGTTGAGGCCTGATGCGCTCCGAGGTCTCTACTTTGGGCTCTCCTCCATGTCTGAAATCAACACCTCTCCCTGTAGGTATTCTGCATCTCTTCTGGCTAGACGTTCCTTCGTCTCGTCTAGCTTCTGTCGAGCCTCTTGTAATCGTTCTTTCGCCTGGTCGACCTTGGTTTCGAGATCGCGATCTTTCTTGCCGAAGTCCTCTACAAAGGATTTCCATCTTTTGATGGAGGCATCTAGGTACTTGCTCCAGGAGGTGTGCAGGTTCTGCCTTGCTTTGTAAACACTTTGCAATTTGCTTCGTGCTTGATCCAGCTTGTACACAGAAAAGTGCATCTGTTTGGAAGATGCTTCTTTGGAGTTGCCCTCTTCCATGATTTGCTGTACCTCTGCAGAGTTCTCTTACTTCTCCAGTGCAGCCATCAGCTTGTTGAACTTGTGCTCTGCCTGTGTCTCCACTGCAGATGTACTCGCAGATGCTGTCGCCTGATGCTTAGAAGGTCCATTCCACGGTGGGTCCAACTCTGGCGCCATGATGCGCCATGGTATCCTTCTTGTGCTTGTTTTTCTTCTTTGGCTTCTGGGCACGTGAAGCTCTCGGAGATGCCGACGTCTTCCTTGATGAACGATCGGATTGTCTGTCCGAATCTTCTTCGTGCCATCCCGTATAGGCCTTGTAAGAATCTTTTTGTACTCGTCCTGCATGTATAAAGGAAAAATCTATGCAAAGATGCCAAGGGTAGTCGCACCTTCCACAACGAAGCGCGTTGGCTTTGTTGAGACGCATGCACCATTTGCAACGCCACGGCGTTTTGTCCGCCATCACTGCTCTGATCCTTTGCAGATAGTTCTTGTCTCTGGAGTGGTGAGAATCCAGTCTGGCGTAAATGGTCTCTAGGCGTTTGCGATCTAGAATGCACAGTCCACTGCTGTGCAAATAGAAAGCTTTCCTTGCCCGTGCCCTCTGCTGCCTGGCTTGTCTCCTCTGGCCCAACGTGGCCGTCTTTGTCAGTGCGAAGCTGATTCACAGTATGCTGGATCAAAACGAAGTAAAAGTAGATAATCAACCACCGACACATACATTGGGATTCCGTTAGTCAATGTTTGCCAATGCAGAACACCAAAAGGAATGGGCAAGTAGTGAAGGCAGTGAAATGTTTTATACGGCTATGCACTTTCCGTTAAGCACACCTGACCAGGGCAAACCAGTTAAGTCAGGGCCGCAGCACCACCAAATGAGGTGATAAAAAAAAAACCCGTATAAATTTGCTTATGCCGCTTTCACCTTATCGTTTTTTCTTCCTTATCGTTTTGCAGGCTATCTGCACTTATCACAATCAAAGAGGTTTATGCACATGCGGCCGCCATCCAAAAAATCATTCGTTCAGCTTCCATTGACCTCGGGCATTCATACCTTTGCTGCAAAAACGCTTCTTGGAGCAAACTCACCGTAGCCACATGTAGCCACATCTATAATAAACTCCGGTTTGTTCGTTCAATGAAAGCTGCATAAAAAAATCCAATCAATAATCTGTTCAATTATCAGCGCAGGGAGTCTTATAGTAATGGGTTCGTCTGGGGAGAACCTCCATGGCAAGGTGATCAATGGGCCATGGTGTTTGAAGATGGCTTTCGGGTTAATTTTGTTATCGTTTTTGTTATCGTTTTGTGTCACGTAAATTCTCCCCATTTGTGGGACACACTTTCACTTGGTCTTCTCAAAAAGGATGGAGGAGCATCAGCAGCTGCATTCGAACTTCCGGAAGTTACTCTCTACGAGGCGCGCTCCGCTAGCCAACTTAACCCGCGCCATATGTATATACATATATATATATGTTGACACATATATTCATATACATACATATGTATTCATATGTATGTATATATATATATGTATACACACATGCATGTGTATATATATATGTATATAATACTTAGCGTTATCGTTTTTTTTCTTCCTTATCGTTTTACGGTGAATGGACTATACCCGGTACAAAAAGGCAACCTGCAATACTAAATCTAATTGACGGCAAGCGAGGTACGGAAAAGGTGCAAGCCCGTGAACCTTGTAGATCCACTCAGGTTGCAATTCGTTGGGCACCCTCAGGATCGCTAGCGTCCCACTCGAGTCAAACCTTCAGTTGCTGTGCTCCGGTGGCCCCAGGTGCAGGTTGTCGCCGGCGGGGTGCTGCTAGCGCTTCTTCTTGGGGCGGTTGAGCCGGCGCATATTCCGCACTAAAGCATGGTTGGGGCTGTGCTTTTAATATGGGGAAGAGATTAGATGATTAGTGGATATTTGATGGATATCTATCAATGAGATGAAACTGAGGTGGGATATCTGAAGATCTTAGAGAAAAAAATTGATCATCCGCAAATGAGATAAACCACAAGACTTTCTGCGCTTCACCTTTTCTTAAAAAATGTTGGGGTAAATCAACCGCCCAGCTACAAAATCACACAGTTCAATGAGCCATTAGATGAAGCGGTTGTCAAGAAACTAGTAGATTTGATATTTGATGGTGAAAACAAACATGGCTACCCTCTGGTAACCTATCTTAAATATGGACAATCATCCCTTTTTCATGGGAAAATCAGCGAACTTTCTTTGGCCATGTTCAATAGCCATAGTTAGTTTACCAGAGAGTACGTGCAAATTATCGCTTCAACCCAAGCAGAACCATTACTATGACCTCAAGGATCGACTCCAACATGTTGGCACAGGAACACTGACTCCAAAAAAATATCTCTGTAGACTTTGTAGCTTCTATATACCAGCAGAGGTTCTGATCTCCGGTTCACCACAAAGGGGCCACGGGGCCACTCCAGTTGGGCGCAGTTGTCCGCGTGGAGCAGCAATTGCGTTTTGGCACTCCTAATTCCTCGTGGAAATCTCGTTGGAGTGTTCTTTCCTAACCAGGACCAGGAATCCGGTTAATGCTTCAGTGCTGAAACATGTACAGTACAGCACGTGCTGATCATGAGTTTTTGCCCACTGCACAGGTGGGACAGTACCATCCACCAGGAACTAGATCACTAGATCACCCAGCCTATCCGGTGTTGTTTGACGGTGACCTCCCCACAAAAAAGCATGTGATTTTTCCAGTTCGACAGATGAGGTGAATCACCAGAAATTGCAGTTTCACAAGCAATATCCCAGTGATCCTCGTCATGTTATCATTGTATCTCCATGATATCCTATGACGCACTGTCTTCATTATACCCCCATTAATCCCATCATCATTCTCATTGGGCAAACATCTGAAATCCTCTTGTTTTGACCAACGCCCGGGTAAAAAATAACCAGGCTTTAAACACACAGACTCTCCTATAGGGGTTGTTCCATGATCGGATCATTCTTTCCAAGTTTAATAGGGGTTTTCGAATATCCTTTCAGTTGCTGCATGCAGCGGTTTATTTACTTCTGAGTTGATTCAGATATTACAATTTCAGATATCACCGTCCGGTTATTTAACATAGCCATGGAAAACCCTTATTGATGGTGGTTTCCTAGCTGGGAAAATCATCTATTTCTATGGGCCATGGCTTCCATGGCTATGTAACAAATAACCAGAGGGTATATAACCATTGATTCTTAACCATTATTAACCATGATTAACCATCATTACCCCATACTAATGGGTATTATATCATGGTATTAACAATCATTAGCTATTTAAACCAGTATTACCATCATTAACCAATGATTATTAACCATGGGTATTATATAATGGTTGCTCTTTTCATATCCCCAAGAAATCTTGGTCCAAAACCCCAGCCGACCGGTAACTGCGCACAGTCCAATCCAAGCACGGCATCGCTGACTTTGGCGGAAGGTGCGATGGATACTGACCTGGCGTTTTTTTCCAAAGCGATAGGGAAACCATAGGAAAATCATAGCTGGTTGGTGGTTGAGCCCTACCCCTCTGAAAAATATGAGCCAGTTGGGATCATGAACTTCCCAACTGAATGGACAAATAAAAATTCATGTTCCATTCCAAACCACCAACCAGATATAGTAGCAAACAGCTAAGAGGTGTTATTGCTATGTCAATATGTTTTTCATGATTGTAGTAGTATTTCGTATCATCGATCACTATTCCGATAAAGTTGGTCTTGTTCGATTTGTAGATTATTATTTTAATAGCTATCTAGGAGAGAACCTGGGGTATAGGGTTTGTCTGAAATAGGGTACCACGGAAACCCCCGCCCATTTATCATAATCTAAATGGCCTCAAATTGGGGGTACGGCCGCAAATTTAGAGAAGACCATATTGGCCTGTCCATCAATTGATCAAATTCCGGTGTTGCATGCTTAAACCCATTTTTGACACCATGTTTGATGATTAGAGACCAATTTTTTTTTCCTGATTTCTGATGGTGTCTAAATCATGTGAAATCTCCATTTATTACTGTACGTTTCATGATAAAATTGCTAAAACAATTCCATATGTTCTACTATTTTTGGTGGTTTTTGAAATTCCATGTCGAATTTCATAGAATTTTACCAATGTCATAAACCATCCCCGATTTCACCATTTTTAAAGGTGGTATGGTTACCATTCCCAAATTTCCCAAATGGGTGGTTTATGACATTGTTTTTCCCACATTGTTGGGGCTATATATGCCAGATCTCTTATACGATGGCTTATTTATCATAGATTATCGATGTTAATTCAAATGTAGCAATTACGACCCAAAACTAAGCCCATATTTTTTCTACAATAGTTCATTTATGCGAATCCCATACAACCATTGGTTTTCATGGTGAACATATATGGATTATTTAAGGATATTTATATCATACATAGCCATAATAGTCATCCAATATATTTCTATAATAATCATATATGGATGATCATTAGCCATGATAAAACATTAAATTTTAATCTATAATGATCATCCACAATTATTTCAATAATCAACATTGGGTAAACATTGGCTATTATATTATATTATTATTGGATGGTTATTATGGCTATATATCATATTAATGGATCTACATTATTGATTATCATCTATATTATGGATTTTATAATAACATATAACCATATATATATATTGTATAATAAACATATAGTCCATGGCCATCCTATGTTAATTTCCATATAATAACCATATAATAATCCATAACCATAATAACATAGTTAATAATAACCATCTATAATAACAGTTATTACTATAATAACCATATAATAACCATTTTAATAACCATAACAGCTTATGGATTACATCTATCATAACCATGGCCATGTTAAAAACCATAATTATATCCACAAACTATATCCAATAATTTCCAGAAATAATAACCATAGTATAATATCCATATTATCCAATGTTTATCCAATAACCATATAGTCATAATATAGTAACATTATAATATATATATATATAATAATCATAACAAATTATTATTGTATAATAACCATATAATCATACCCTCCAGTAAATTAACATAGACCCTGGCAGTTGTCGGGTTTGGAAGATTCGTTTCCA